AACTTCGAGCAGAGCGAAAACAGCCCATCGCGCGCTCGAGGGCATACATGGCGACCGCTCGCTCCCCCTCTCGCCGGCTCTCTCGACTCCGTGCAAGCGACTCTTTGTGCCCTTTTTGCGAAATTTCACTTTCGCTCCAAACAGGCAAATAGCTCGACGTTCTCTTTGCATTCAGATCTCGGTTGGGCCCGATGATTTCCCAGAGTCGGGAGTCTAGCTCGACCGAAGTAGCTCCCCGACGTCAAGGAATACCTGGCGTAATTCTTTCAGGTGGGCTGAAACGGACGCCGTCTTGCGGTACGAAACGTTTCGCCCCCGTCTCCGTTCGCTCGCAGCCTGTCCGATAGTTCTTCAAGTATTCTGAAATAAAAATGGAGAGGAAGGATGAAGATAACTTATCGAAAGTCTGACTAGGGGCCAAATCCAAGTCAACGGAGGTATGACTACGTCATCACAAGACCTACATCGCGAGAGCTGCGTATAGTCCGGTCCCAGCTCCGTCACATCCATAAGTTTTCCGAGACCGGATAGGCTTCAAGAACTACACGTTCTATGTTGGTTGACTTTTGAGGCCAAGAGCTCGGATCGAGGGGCCATATTTCGAGCGGAGTCTGCTTGTACCGGAGCAGGTGCGTCATCTCGAACATTATGCTGCCATCGAGAAACGATTTCGAGCACAAAATCGGTCAAGAATCGAGTGCTCGAGTGCCGGTGGTGTAGCCAGTGGTTTCCATCTTGGCCTCCTTTTCGGCCTATTTACCACAAGTCCGATCACCCGGAGGCAACTCTGGCCTGCAGCTTGACTCCAAACCAATCTGATGTCGGTTGCGCGAGTTCTTCACGACGACGTTCAAGCTCGGTCGGGAGAGCCTAGTATGTTCCTCGCCGAATGCGACGTGTTTGTTTCGTGGCTGAATTTCAGATTCGGCTCGCCTCATCGAGTATGTCCCGTGATAATGAAGAGATGGTGCTTGATATCGATCGCGGGCGCCAGAACTCGGGATGAGCAACGCTGTAGAGGCTCAGCATGTTTCTTGGATGCCCGAGGCTCCAGCCATCAACATCAGCTGAACTCATCTTTCCATCCAAGGAAAAGACTCCCTAGCGGCCGTCGCAGGCCGCAGAAGTGATCGAGATTATTGAGCTGGGAATTGGAGAATATGTAACTCTCGCTGGCAGCAGCAGAGCCGGCAGAGGCGACCGCAGAGGACTGCTTCGGGGGCAACGATGGAAGTCGTTGGAAGGAGGAATCTTCTTTCGCGAGAAATTCTTTCGCCGTTCTGGCCTCGGTCATTTCGTACGGCTATGCGATAAAGCCTCCGATCGATTCGGTCGAAGGAAGGGTTCGTTCTGCTCCGATGACGTCTGAAATTCGAAGGACGATCCATCGACGGGAAAAGTGAGTAAGCTCAAGCGGGGCGCAATTTCTTTCTACTCGAGCGAGGAACGACGGGAACGCGCTTTTCAGTCAAATCAACGGCAGACGTATTCGAGAGAGTCCTGCAGGACACTCACGAACTCGTTTACCTTATCACATCTCGACGGTGTATTTTTTATTCGTCTTCTCTTCATCCCCTTCCTAGCTTCGTCTCGTACGTCATTGTGAAGTTTTTTCAGCCAACAATCATTGTCCCTTTTGAAGGCGCCTCTAGGACAATTCATATTCCTTTCTTCCTTGTGTCCTTTGCACCTTCTCAAAGCAAGTACGTTCATCACAAAGAGTAGATGGATAGATGACGGACGGAGAAATGGATGACAGTGTGGGGTCGCTCGTTGCGGATTCCTCGGCGACGACGTCGAGAGGAGAAAGAACCCTTGAATCTCCTCCTATCTCGCGACGCTCCCGATCAAAGCAAATGAAGGAGTGTTGATGCAAATTACGAACCTGTGCGATGGGAGCAAATGTGGCCGCCATGCGAGCGCTCCGGTGCCATTGATGTTGAAAAATAACCGAGTTGCCACCGACCCGTCGCGTCATATTTTCCCTTCCTTTTCCGGTTCGAGTTCGCCTATCCACGGGAGCCGGCGAATCGAGGGGACTACATCCAGTGGCCGTTGCCCCATGACTGCCCTGTCACGCTTGTTGATAGGCTGCTCAGTCGGTAAGCTGAGCACCTTCGCGACATGGAGATAGAAGAATTTTGCTCCCAGAAGGGAACTCTTCAATCCGAGTGAGATAAGGTGCCGCCGTCCGCGCACGCAGACTCTCGTTTTCGCGCGGAGGACCAGTCTAAAGGGCTACTGCTCCACTGGTGTGCTGGCTGGCGGTCGACGGGGAAAAAGGGCCTTATTCATTGATTCACTGACTCGCTTAGCGGCGCTTTGTTGATCGGTGTCAGCTTCTCTCGTCGGCCAGGCCAACCCTGCGTCTACTCCTCACAAAACCTGAAGGGAGTGTACCAGTTATCTGAGCGTGCGTGTGTGTGTCTCTGTCACTCAACGCGAATAGAGACAAGCAGGGCATGAATATGTCAACAGGAATTGCTTTCAAGATTTGCTCGTCTTATAACCTGATTAGACACAAGCGGGCGGGGGCGACCAGCCAAGACAGACATTCGCTCGCAGAGACCTGACGTCTGGCTGGCTGAGAACAAGAGAAATACTGATTGGAAGATTACTCTTTGTGTCAATCCGATTCGCAATCGATGTCTTCCCTCCGGTACAGGTCCTCTGAAGATAAGCGTTTGTGCGCAGGAAAACGACTCCGAACATCCACCTCGTTCTCTCGAGACGGATGCTCAATCCGAGCTGCGGTCTGAGGTGTGAAACTTTTGAATCGGGAACACTCTTGAGACTAGGCAGCGTCTCCACGCGGTGGACGCATCCGAGGATGCTCGCAAGAGGATCCATCTTCTCACCGAAGTACAGATGCGTCAGAGAGATGCGGTACGTACTCAGAGTTCCCGCTCGATGGGCTCTCTCGAAATCTGGAATGGAGGACGAAATGAAGTCAAGATAATGGAGACAGGCACCATCCGATCGAGCGTTCGACCGAGAGCGGTGCGGGGCGAATCTGAGATCCGTTTTTCCATTTTCGGTGAGGGCGCTTCATTTGGAACCATTACGGACCGCCGCTTTTTTTCGTCGGGGGGAAATGTTCTGTGCGGATGCCATTATTATGAACGATCGCTTCCAAGTATGCATCGGAGCATTCCTGGTAGTCGCGATGTGCGGCGTAGGTGTCACTGACAGAATCAAATTATTTGAGTCCCGCTGTGTTTATCGGGAAGGACATTCGCTCTTGCCTCAACACATCGGGAGGCCTCGACGCAGAATTTCTCACGATTGCGGAGAAGCGTTTGAGGTGATTAAGCAGATGATACGTTCGCTTCCAGCGATAGGCTGGAGCGAGGAACAAAGGAGCACCCGAATAGCACGAATATTGTATTTGCATTTCGATCATCGGGAAGTCATTTCTAACAAGGCGTCCCGCTCCCGCCAATGGAGATTCCACGCCCTGCGAGCGATTTCCGAAAAAATCCCTCCCGAGTCCCGAAGCTATCCTCTGACCAACTTTGATGTCTCGATTATTTTTTGGATAGCTCAGACGGCTGCCAACAACTTTCCTGTCTATGGCTCCCCGATCACGTACCAGGAAACAACGGCGCAACGCCAACATGACACTCGGTAAAATCGCAGATTTATCAGCTGCTCAGATTCCAATGTGACGTCATGATAATTCGTTCCAAGTCAAGCGATTGACAGAGCTTTTCGTTTCCTCAGGAAAAATCCCTTTCAACGCCTCAACTTCCGTCGTGGAATTAGCAGGATTAAGAGGCATGCGACCCCGGGTGGGAACCGGGGATCTCAACAGTTGCTGATTCACCTGTATCCGTCATTGAGATAGACACAAGGCCAGCTTCTATCGACGACGGACCGAGCCCCGGGTTGAAGGGACGCTCCCCCCGCTGCTCCGACCGCTACGAACAGCGACATATGAATGGCTTTGGTCTAGTTTCCCACATGAATACTTGGTGCTGGTCTACACGGTGTCTATAGCCACCTTAGCCACCGCAACCTCGCTCATCCCACACCCGCACCATATGGTGCACCTTTCGATCGCATCAAATATTGACTGGATCAGACCACCTCGCTCGTGCTCGATAGGCAATTAATTCGGAGTGACTCAAAGGCGCCGCAACGAGCTATCACTGACTACTAGAGCTTTCGCTTCCTGCTTTCGGAACCATATCCATTGGAATCTTCCTGGAATTTTGGGGATTATTCACGCCGACTGGGGTACACGGTCCGCAGGGGAAGCATACCACCCCAGTCGACGAACTTCGACATTCAGGTTCGAAATTCCTGGTGCCAAATAACACGAATCATCATTCCACGACTACACAGAACGATGCATATAGAAACATTTTAGCCGAATAGAACGAGAGTAGTAACAGATGATCAAGCTCCCGAATTTATGCTCCACAGGTGACTCGGAGACCCGAATGGAGGCAGCTCCTTTCCCACGTGAATATTTCATCCTCATGCTCGTCAGACGGTCATCTCGAGTTCAGAGCGGAGGCGATCCTGTTCCGCTGCAGGGGAGCCCACGGCGAAGGTGCTGATCGGTAGTGGTCGAATCAGCGATACGTGGCACGCTTCTCCGGAGGAGTATGGAACAAAATGCCGTCACGTAGATTCGGCGTAGACTGGCGAAGCAAGGTAGAGCTCGAGAGCTGTGAGAACGTTTCGAGGATGGGAATTCGTCGTAGGATTTCTCCTCTTCCGATTCCCTGTTCGAGAGGACGTCGATCTTGCGAGCATGGTGTTCCATGATCTGAGGAAATCGAATTCTCCTAAGATCTCTACCAATCTCGGAATCTGGTTGAGCTATTCGACGGAGAGATGAAGGCTCAATGGCGAGGTCACGAACACGCATAGGGCGGACCGAGCGATAGCAGAGAAGTTCCACGAGACTGGTGAATTTACCGACGATGGGCATCAAGCTTTGCGACTCGAGTGCCAGTCTAGAGTCTAGAGAATTGAAGAGAGCAAGAACGTAAAAATCTGGCTTTATTCATTATCTTGGTTGGCCTGCCTCTCCTAACACTGCAGCCTTTCTCACGACACTTGTGTACAAACATTTCTTCCTCATCTGAATCTTGAAAGAATCGCTAATGCAGCTGAATAATCAACAATATCCACAAACAGATCCGTCTCCCAAATTGTCCGGAGCGTCGGTTAGGGTGATGTTCTCCCTGTCGTTTTTTTTCGTCCACAGACCCGGTGTGTGCAATATCTGCGAGAAAGAGAACTCGTTAGGTGAAGAACTTGACTCCGGGTTAGAATGGGAGATCCAACCCTGATCCGTCAGGACTCGTCATCTACTTTCGATGATTCGCCTATATTTCGCGGTACTCACTTTCGCTACGAGCTCCTCGAAGCATCCGGTGACGTTTTCAGACGTTCGAGCCGAAGCTTCCACGAAGAGCATTTGGTGTCGACGAGCGTAACTGATTCCTTCTTGTTTGGTCACTTGCCGCTGCTCGTGTTTATCTACTTTGTTCCCTACGAGCATTTTGACAATGTTCTTGTGGGTTGCGTACGTCTCCAGCTCGATGAGCCAGGAATCAAGTTTCTCAAACGATTCTCGACAGGTCACGTCATAGACTGCAATAAGCTCTGCTTAATCATAGAGATCGGATTTTCATCCGTCAGCGATAGGATGAACTGGGAGACGGGAGCAGCTGTTGGCCGCGGATCATTGTCAACTCACCTAGCACAGCACCTTGAGCGCCGCGGTAGTAACTGGCAGTGAGGGTACGGAAACGTTCGGATCCTGCGGTGTCCCAGAGACTGAGCTTCACTTTATTATCGAAAACTGTAATTACCTTGGACTTGTGGTCGAAACCAATGGTGGAAGTCAGCTGGGTGTCAAACGTATCCTCGACGAAGCGTAACAAAAGGCTGAAAAGCGAAGAGACAAATGTCGGGGTTGGGATAAAGTTGAAGTCGGGAAATCATTGTCAACAAGTTAGACGAAGACTAGTCACGCAGTATCCGGCAGCCTCTGGGTTCCTCCCAGAGGGTAACTTCCCGGAAGCTACGAAACTCGGATACCAATTTTCTGGCAAGAAGTCCGAAATCCGCGAGCTTCGACAGACGCGCGAGATTTAACCATTCTTCGTGGAGGAAATTATGCTAATGTGCCGGTGGGCGAATGACGGACTGCATCGCCTGTGACGCATACGTGATTCCAAATCATACGTCATCAGGAACGCATGCTTCCCGGGCACGATGCAATGGTCAGAATTCTCCACATTTTTCTCGATATGAACATTGACTGATCTCTTCGCTCAATGCGAAGGGTCGGAGACCCCCGTATTTTTCTTCCCCACTCGCGAATAGGTGGCTCGCTCTCCATCTGATTACTGAAAGCTGCATGACGAGCAGAGAATTTCGCAAAGGCTCATTCTCTGCCGTATCACCGCAAGAGCAGTATATTGGGCTCGTCTCGAAGTTTCGGTTCGGGATCACTCTTTCGATCGATTCCCCCCGAGCTCCGAGGTGCAGATACTCTGTTTTCAATTTCTGCGCGTCAACTCACCAACTTTTACCGACATCTGCTTCACCTATGATGAGAACTTTCAGGGTTGTGATCGCCTCCTCCATCCTCGCGGTGAGTTCCCGAATAGAAGAAGCTCAACTTCACGTCGGGGAATCACGAATCCAAAGCGGAACTACCTCTTTTCCACTCCTCAACACACATCGATTCTGGTAGTCACATAAGGATCTGCGTCAGTCTGTTGGCGTGAGAGAACTGGCGCCAAATTTCAAATACCTCGAGTCCTTACGCTCGGAGTTCCTTATTCTATTTGGAGCTTGTGACAATCACTACTCCGGCATAGAGACGCTCGAAGCCATGAAAGCTCATCATCAAAGCTCTGAGCGCCGAAGCTTTCGATATCGGATGGGGGCTCAGAAGATGTCAGAGTTGAAACGACTCGATTGAAGCTTGGTTTATTCATGTCTAAAACTGCGAACAAGTTCATGCGCTTTACATCCGGAGAGATTCACGGAGAGCCCTCGTTCTGAGGCTGCAATCGGCTCAGGGCGAAATCGTTCCATTTCATTTCCTGCTCCTTCAGGGTTTCGTGAGGATTTCCGTTGTCTGGTTCAGGATCGGGGAGTTCTTCGACCGGAACTCTGATTTCGCCGTCCGGCAAAACGTCGGTGCGCCATTGATCGTCGATGATGTCCACTATGGGGTCGCCTCGGATGGGATCGCTGTCCATACCGATTTGCCGCTCGTCACTGAGTGAGTCAACGATGGGTATTACCGATTGGGAACCTCTCGTTTCGCCGGGAATTTCTTCGCTCGGCCGCCACCAGCTGATCGCTCCCCGGCCCCGACCGGGCGACAGTCTTAGTCTACAAACAGTTGTTAGCAAGCGTGCCCACGTGTTGTTGACGACCCTCAGAGGGTAATGGCGCCAAATTCAAATCGCCCGAGACTCGGCTCCGCTCGACTTTGCCCACCCGAAGTCCTTGTTATGAACGGCCTGATGTGGCAACTGCCCGCTGCCCAGAGAGCTCTTCCGAAGATGATCGCTCGGATGGACCATCGTCGTGAGTCCTCCGGTAGATGGGGGATACGTTCTGGACCTACGACCCGCATATGCTCTCCCTATCGGATACTGATAAGACGAGATCCACGAGGTAATGACGAGCAAAGGTTAGGAGCGGTTCGATTACAAAAATAGTTTATTATAAGAAGGAGGAGAATATTCGCCCCGGGTGGATTTTACAGTATTATCTCGGGATTTATTTTCAGCTCTTAGCCTATAGGACGACCCGAAGAGTAGCTATACAATCTTCCGCCTTCGTCATATACGCGAGTAAATTCACTCTCTCCCTCAAGCTCCTCTGGATAAGAGACTATACAGGAACGATACGTCGTGCTCAAGATGTATCTCTTCGCAGAGATTTTCGGAGTCTGCATCAGACCTTCGAAAGATGACGACGAAACACACGAGTCCTATCCACCAAATGTGAACTCGTTGCATTGCTTTCGATCACACGTCTTCCATGGATATCTTTATGAAATACACAAGAGATGATAATGATGATGAGCAGGAAGTCGAAATGAGGCTTATCGTGTCGTTGAAGAACGAGCGTAAGCTGATTGAATATCTCCGGACCGACTTCACAGCCACGGATGCCAAGCGGGATCCATTCGGCAGAGATTCTCCGCATTGGCCGCAGCAGCTAGCAGAGACTGAACTTTGTTCGGTTCTCCCTTCTCGCATTGAGCCGAACCAGGGACGCAAACTGCAAAAAAACGGGAAGAAACTGAGTACGAGTGCTCGCGTAGTTAAGGGACTCGAGCATTCGAGAATAGACGGATATTCGGGAAACCGGGGGATACTTACGATTCAACCTTGCGGTTATCGCCAGAACCGCTTTATTAACCGCCAGAACGAGCTTCTCACCCTCCATGTCGGGTGGGGCTTCGGAAGCGGAGCCGTGATCCTCGTGATTCTTCTTGTGCCAGGTGATCATCTCGTCCCTCAGAATTGGTTTCAGAAGGGCCGTGAAAGCCGTCTGAGTGAAGCATCGAGCCACAGCAATCATCGACGCACACATGGGACCTTGAATCCCTATCGGAGTGACGAGTTCGGCGATATTCGGCGTGAGACGGAACGGAACCGGACGGCTCTGGTCGAGCTCACCGGACGAATCGCTCACATCAAACTTGTAATAGGCAGCGTTGATGAAGCCGCTATCCTGATGAATGTAAATCATGTCCGGTGACAGTCTTGTCAAGTGCAGGACGAACTCGATGAATCCACACAAAGCCAACTGGATTGAGAACTGCTTCCGGAAAGTCCAGAAATCTGTGGGGTCTACGTAGGTGCTTTCGGCCCACTCCTTGAGGAGCGTCTTGGGCACTTGGGTCTGTTGTATATCTCGGAGGATGTCTTTGAGAACCTGATGGCTCGAGGGACTTCCTCGTCCCTGAACGGACGCCAACTTTTCGTAGTACTTCGCTATGGGTGTGTCGTACTCGGTGCTCCTAGCCTGACACTTCTGTTTATAGATGTCGAGCAACGATAACGAACAGGGATTGTCCTCGACGAGTCGCATCTGAGGACTGACGGCGACGACTTTCGGTACCGTGAAATTCAGACCGCGTCGCGCAGTTTCCTTCTGTTTCCCTAGCAAGTGGTTTAGCATTCGCAAAAGCTGCAGCACACGTTCCTCACGTCGAGCGTCGCTGAGACAGGCGTCGTTCACGACGAGATACGGATAGACTTTTCCGTTCTGACCGAGAATATAGAGACGGCGAGCGGCGGTGTTATGTTTGTGGACAACGTCGACTCGCGGCATGAATCTTGAGATTTTCACGAAATGATTCCCTCTCGGCAGCAGAAACTCGCCGGGCAGGGCGACCTCCGCGGTGGCGTGGCAGAAGTTGGACATGAATCGACACTTTTCTTCGATGAGCGAGGTCTTCGGCAGGAGTTTCGTTTTGTTCTCGAGAATTTTGATCCATTTCTTCAATTTGCCGATGAGATTATGCAATTTCATGGCGTTCGCGGTCGAGAAGTCGAAGTCTGCCGTGAACTGAACTTTCATCCGCTGAAAAACTGGATCTTGAGCCGTGGCCTGCGCTCTCTTGGCGAGGCTCTCGCTCGCGGTCGTGGAGTACGTGGCCGCGACCCCGCCGCTGACCACGTTCTCGATGCCGACGCCGAATGTCGAGACGAGCTTCTTCACGAAATTCAACGTATGCGGCGTGACCGTAGCGTCGCTGACCTGCAGCCGGTTCTCGAAAGCAACGGCGTAGCACTTGGTCAGCGCCTGCTTGAGCTGACGGAGGACTTCTTCATACCAGTTTTCGCGGAACCAGACGAGTTGGTCCACGATGCCTTCGAGGCTCGACAGGACGGTCGGGTGGACGTCCCGTTGAATATGCATGATCTTTGAGCATCTCCACATCGAAGGCGTGGCTCGGAGCTGGTTCGCGGATTGCGTTTGACCGTTGCTGCCTTGCGCGTGACCTCCGGTGTTTTCGTTGCTGTTGTTCGTGGAGGCGTTCAGGTTGGCGTTCGCCGCGCTGGCTTGCTTCGCCTTGTCCGCTTCGGTACTCTTGAAGCGTTCGCGTTGCTCGACTTTTAGAGTAAGGTACAGCGTTCGGATGGGGAAATACACGGCTTGGGGACAGACTCGACCAACGGTCGTAAGCAGATTGAGGAGTTGTTTCCCCTCTTGACGTACGAGGCACGTCAAGAGTTGGGGCACCCAAGGAAGCCATAGTTGCGGTAGCACCCCGCTAAAGTATTCATCTACGCATTCACTCAACTGGAACTTTTCGTTATCGTACGTCAGTAGCCAGATCAACTTAGCGAGGTGTTTCCGGGTCTTAGCTTCATTCGAAGTGCGAGCTGCGTGCAGGTAGCATGTCACCGCGTATTCTCCCACTTGCATATTGCGATCGGCGAATGGTTCTTTGGTGAACATCGTTTCCAGGTATTCACCCCATAGAGCCCAGCCTGGAAGAATTGCATTGATGAAGTGTGAGCTTTTCGAACAGCGGAGCCTATACATTATTAATTATGATTATTATAACCGAGCCGCTAATCTCAAAGAGTGAAACATAATTCATGCATCAACATTACTACGATTTTTCTCCTGAGTTATAATAAATCCTCGAATTCGAGCATCAACTTTTGAATATTGGAAGATTTCAAGCATAAAATCCCTATCATGTATCATGACAAATGACTCATCAGTGATATTCGAATGCTCATATGTTCAATAAAGCATAAAACATATTGGAACATTAGAGCACTGATATACGATTTGAGCTATCTTGATTTTTTCTCCACAAACATGCTATCTGGGAAAATATATATCGGACAATTAAGGTTGAGTGGTCCGATGTCTTTGACGCGGAACCTTCGGCGAGCGCCTTACCTTTGTTTAGCGTGTCTTGCAGCTGCACGGCAGCAGAAAAAGCTTTGTTGGCGTCGTTCGAGCGACCCAGCTGAGATAGGAACATTCCTTTGAGCGCGCAGAACTCCGCGATCATCTCTTTGCTGAAATACTTCAAGTTTGTGCTCTCTATGACTTCGAGGCCTTCCTGGGCCTCGGTCTGGCTTCCTGAGCGCGCGCTCATGATCAGGTAGCATTTGACTTGCTGGAGGATCTTCTGGAAGCAATCTACGATGGGCACCGAAGGAATAGTGTGGATTTTGTTCAACGAGTCCAGACAGACAGTACTGAGTCCGTGTTTTCGAGCGATTTTCCCGAAATGGATTATTGTCGAAGCCGACGCGTGCACACCGATCATACTGCTGTTGGCCTGGGCGCTGTCCGCAGGAGGCGGGTTGCTAGGGTTGTGGAAGTGATCGGCTATAGCTTGATAATGGCGTTGTCTCCAAGTGAATATGTCGTTCCAGTGCGAAAGATCATCACTCAGAACCGGCAAGCGCTTCCTCCACGTTTTTACAATCGCTCGCATATCACAGATGATGTTTTTGCTTCCTGGTCCGACCGTGGACGTTGTCGTCGGCGTGAGGCTTGTATGAATTTGAGCAGCTTCCTGAAGTTCGACAATCTGCTGCGAAGCTTGCAGCATCGGTATATGGGTGTTTGAAACAATTTGTGGGAGTCTCCTCCACTCACGGATGCAGCACGACGCCACCGTTTCGACCTGAGAAGTAAGAAACATCAATCGGATGACAAGAAATTCAATTTTTTCAGACCGCGGGCCGAGCAACGCATTATAACACTCGAGGTGCTGAGAGCCAACTCCCGATCGCCAGACCGACCTTTGGTAATCTAGGAGAAAACTCACCAGTCTTTCCACCGTCCCCGACTGATTTTCGGGCTTGAAGCTGGAATCGCAGATGGCTACGTATCCTCTGTACAGATTGAGTTTCCAGAGGTACTCTCTCGGCGAGTTATGCTCCACTTGGCCGAGAGCCTCTTTCATCAACGACCAGTTGGGGATTCTCCACGCAGCTTCCAGAACGAGGTGCATGTTCTGCACCGTTTTGTTGCCGCCGTATTCGAGGAGCACTTCCCATTGATTTAGTTCCTTCGTGCAGCGGATCCAATGTTCCTCCCAGAGTCGAAACTCGCTCTGAACCGAGGCCGGCGCGGGATTCTGTGCGTATTCAATTTTGGCTTTGGACATCGCCGATTCGTAGGCTGCCTGAGCTTGCTCGAACATGCCGTGCTGCTCGTACGTCACGCCTGTGATCGTATCGGAGAACGTGGCTCTCTTCTGCCACAAACCGGCGAAGAGATCATCTTCGCGTAAGAGACTGTACATCTCCGAGAGACAGTCTAGCGCCTCTTGATGGAGCGTGAGTTGTGGAGGGGTCGCGACAATCTGCTGATCCGGCTCAGAACAGTCCATTGGTTGAGGCTGCTGCTGAGATTGAGTCAGTTGTTGCTGTTGCTGGGAGGCTTGCTGCAGTTGGGATGGTTGCTGCTGCTGCTGTTGTGCAGCGACGGCGGTGCTCGTCGCACGCTTTGGCGTTTTGTCCGCTGTCGCCACGACGTGCTCGAGCTGCAGGGTAGACCAATACCACATGTTGTGCGATTTCCCGGTGTACTTGACAACTGTGGGCTTGAGCTGAACGTTGGAACAGTGCGAGAAGGCCTCACAGAAAGTTCCGATCGCGTTCGGGTGGCAGTCTTTCTGCGTTTGATGGATGCCCGAGCAAACGAACGCCGCCAAATCGACACCTAACGAGGTCTGTTGCTTCTCGCCGAGGATTTTCCAGATCTTCGGGAACATCTGGACCCAGAGATGCTGAGCCAGTGTAGTGTCGTGGTGGCAGAGCTGGATGATGGCAGAGAGCGCGTACTCGATTTTGAATCTCTTACGGTTCTCGTTCATGACGCGCACCGTATTGTTGAGGACGTGGAAATTTTTCGAGATATTTGCCGCCGTCGGGGCGTTGTCCGAAAGCTTCAGATCGTTCAAATTGAACTCGAGTACGTCCTCGGGCATAGACTCGCTGGTGTCCATTGGTTCGTATTTCGTGAACGTGAACGGCGTACGCATGTTCTGGTCGGCTTGGGTCGCGATCGTTGTGAACGCGGGGATCAGAGGACCTCCGGGCGCGGGCTCGAGTGTATTCTCCATGACGGCAGTGACGAGAACCAACTCGATGCATTGCTTTATCCAGAAATGGGCTCCCATCGTCTCCCAGTTCTGGAAACAGGTTATGTACACGAGACGATCGTAGAGTCTTTTCTTTATCGACTGGTCGTAGATTTCGAAGAATTTCGCCCGGATGTGAGGTTGCACGCATCGAAGGCCCGCCATGAAAGCTGGTTCGAGTTTCGAGGAGAGTTCCGAGTTCTTTAGCGTCGGATCGCAGAACACAAAATGTATAAGCTCCAGGAATTGCGCCTGGAGCTCGAGATCGTCGGGGAATTTCTTCTCCACCCACGACATGAGTTTCACGAGTAGGATCGATTTCTCGCGTAGGCTTGGAGTTTGGTTGACGGCGAAAGGGCTTTTGCTCCGAATCCACTCGTCTACCATTTTCGTAATGGCTCGCAGAACCTTGGCTTCTGGAGTTTTCTCTATGAGTTGTACGAGAATCTGGCCGATATAGGTCTTCCGCATTTCCGGGCCCATGACTCCCACTCTGTATTTGACGAGGTCCAGGCACAGGATCAGGAGCTCCAGACCCATTGGATTCGGATTGATGTCGTTGGATCCGGCGATGTGTTCTCGCTGCAGCTTGGACAAGGTTTTCATGAAGGGTGTTATGAGCCGATCGATATAGCATGGATTGCTCCAGCATGCGGCCTTGAGCACCATAAGCGGTCCGTGGAGTAGAGAAGGATTGGCCATGCTCACTCTGGAAGAAAAAAATCGGGAGATCGAATCAGACTTGTCCTAAGCTACCGCGTCGTCATCCGAAATTATCTACTGAACACTTAGGGATAATAGAATATTCGAATTACGTGGACTTTTTCTTTAACTTCGGCGTAACCTTCCTGTGAACGGTACACATTGAATCATAACGTATACGCAAACGATTCGAGATTCACGGCAACGTAGGCATGCCCCGACAGAGAAATTCATGCATCGGAAAATTCCTGATCGCTTTAGGCGATATGATCATTATTATCATCATAATTATTATTACTGTTAGGACGTGAACGAACATTCAGTACATATCAGAGAGAGAAAATAAATTCATTCCAGGGTGGCAGCTCAACAACTTGAAACACGTTAGATTTCACTCACTTCTCGTAATTCGTGAGACCATCCGTGACCACCTTGAACATTTGTGTGTATAGGAACTCCAACTCTTCGTACTTCGTGGAATTCGCCTCCGGCGGGAAGATCTTCATCAAGCGGGAGAACACTGTGTACAAACTACTCAGGACCTGGAAAGAGATGCAGACGTGGAGGGAACACCGATGGGGACAAGGGTCGCTTACGGGGCGAAATATCCGGATTCGTGTCGTTTTCCGCTCGTCAACCGCTCGATGAGGGGGTGGAAGAGCTTACCGCTCGGATCGAGATGTTCATGCAGGCAGCAAGCCCACGTTGGACTTGCTTGAACGCGGCTAGGATCGATTCTTTGCGGAGGATCGTAAGAAGGAGAGCCAGCGTATCGAGAGAAGAACAGATGTTCGGGTAGTTCGGCTGCGAGACTGACTCGACGGTGACAAGGAGTTTCTCGAGCCAAGTCAGTTTCAGCTCTGCGTCCGCCCAGAGCTCGGGCCGGAACGCCGTTTTCAACAAAAACTGGCAACGCTTGGACAGAGCGTCGCTAGCTGGATTGGCTGCGTTCATCATCGCAACACCTGTAGAATTCGCAGCGTTTGCCGTTGCGGCGGCAACGTTGTCTCCGACCTGGTACGGAAAAAAAATTCAACAATTACTGCCAGAGGTCTAAATTAAAAGTAGGTAATTGATCGGAGGGCTTGTTCAAGAAAGGCTACAAGCACCGGAACTCGAGTCTATGACAGCGAGCGCAAGGCTCACGACCGTACCTGGCACGCCATTCGAATGAGGAAGTTCACAATCGCATCCGTATGAGTTTTCTCAAGAGGCTTCAGGTTGACCTGTTGTTCATTGGGTTTCACGTCACTCGTAGCGCCGTCCTGCGTTTCTCGGATCCTTTCCAGCTCCCACTTGATGACGACTTCGGCCAAATCCACGCTCAGTTTCTTGTGCTCGAGCTGCGCGTTGGCGGTGAAGCCGAGCCGTTGCACGGAGCTCACTATGTGCGCGATCAAATGATGCCTCACCGGGTAGTAGATATGGTGATGCCGGCACATGAGTTGGAGCATGTGCACCAGCTGCGCCAGGGTGTGACCCTCCTCGATGATGATTTTCTTCGTCCAGTGCGTGAGCATCTGGTTTCCGTCCTCCATACGCGCAGGCATCGCGGGCGTGAGAATTTCGAGAGCTTGTCGCACAACGGTGCGGGCTTCCACAGCGTGAGCTTTGAGCAGGCTGTGGAATACCTGGAGCACGATCTTCTTATGGATAGCGAATTTCGCGATGATGTGAGCGAGTAGGAGGTGCCCGTGGTATTTCGTAGCGGGATCGACGGAATTTTTCGGTAGCAGGCAAGGCCATGCGTATGTCATCAGTCGGCGCAATTTGATGCCCTGTCTTTTGTTCTCCGCGTCGTGGATGTGCGGCGACGCCTGATCGACGAAGAGACAGGACAGCTGGAGGAGCAGGATCCGGACCTGGGAATAAATTCATAGGTTCGATAAAGTCCTTCAATGGCGGTCTTATTCATCGATTCATTCATTTAGGCGTATGCCTGATACGGGGGTAGCAACAGACGAGACAATAAATGGCTTTGTCAGAACGTCGGGAAAAAGATTCAGGAAGAGACTCTCACCGAATCCAACGTCAAGCGAGGGTTGTCGATGACTCTCAGGATAAAAACGGAGATGACATTCTCATCCAAATCCTGATCGGGAGTCGGCTCGCTTCCGATGAGTTCGGGTCCGTTGCCTTTTTCGAACGAGTCCGTGAACGCAGGGATGATGATGTGTTGCAGAACCTTTGCAATGAGCTCTTGAGGAAAATTCACCGCTCGCTCAGATAGAGCGACAAACTTGAAGAACGCTTCTCTTTTCCACTGCACCGTGTACTTGATGACGACAACGTTTTCGATGAAGTCCTTCAGAAACTTGAAGTCAGCGATGAATCGATTGACGAAGGCTCTCAGCAGTTGGAAGAGCAGCTCAACGTCGTCGATATTCTGCTTGCAGTAGTGCAGCAGCGACTTGACGATGAGCTTCGGGGTGCGCCAGTGGTCGGCGTCGGAGATCTCCACGCAGCTCTGGGTGTGTCGCGTCTGGAACTCGTCTGAAATCCAGATCTCGCGCAACATGGCCACGATCAAGGGATTCTTCACCAGGAAATCCGTTTGATTTTCGAATTTGATCAGTAGGCCGATAGCTCGGACTCCGAGATATTCGAAGTCGTAGCGTGCGTTGGCGCTCGCCAGCTGCGGGATCGAGCTCATATCGAAATTCGGGAACGCGGTCGCGATGGCGGCTTTGCCCGTCGGTGTCAAGCTGACCGCGAGCAGTCTCCCGATCACCAGCGGATTGTCGAGCAGTACCTTCCGGAGCTCTTGTCCCTTGTCCCCCTTCAGCAGATATTCGAAGTATCTGATGTACTGATGGTTTTGAACCGCGGCGTCCGACATGACGACCTCGATGGTTTTCTCGGGATATTTCCGCAAGAACTTCGCCAAGGGTTCGTGAAGGGGCGAGGCCGCTTCGATGAGGAGGAGTTTCTCATGAGAAAGAATCGTCGAAACCAACGACTCGATCAGGGTCTCTTTCGCCGCGGGGACCTGGTGGAAAATTTCGATGATCGCAATACACTGCTTCAGTTCGATGTTCATCGGCTTTCCCTGACTCTTATTCTGAATGCAGATCTCAAACCAGCGTCGGAGCAGAAGCTGCAGCTGGTCACACAGCTTGTCGTTGAACGTATGAGGGAAGAGAAGCGTCAAATAGCTCAAGCGTTGCAGAATGCTGAGATTAACGTGTCTGAACTCGGCGAGGTGGATCAGGAGGCCGCGAATGTGTTTGTGCACGGTCTCGATCTTGATTCCGTTGCCGCTGATGAATTTCTTCATGCACTGGAACGCGGCCTCTTGGAGCTCGCCGTTGGCCGAATTCAGGACTTTGTACAAAACGGTGAAAACTTTCTCGCGGTGCGGCTCGTTGTCGATGTAGTGTAGGGTGGCGAGACAATTCAAAGCCGCCTTTCTCAGATCTCCGAGTAGACTCTGCGAATTCTTGTAACAGGCATTCTTCATCAAGGTCTGATCCTCGTTATCACAGATGGCCAACAGTTCCTGAATGAAAAGCCTGTGCTCGGGCTGTTCCAGATCCAGACTGAACAGCCGCGGTTGGAGCGCCGTACAGAACGTATTGCCTTCCATTAGTCCGATCTGAACGTTGACCGGCTGATGTTTGAGCGTGTGTTTCTTCGGTGGAAGGATCTCCTTGAGAGCGTCTTTGTGAGGTTCCATGATCTCGGTGATGCTTTTGCCGGTCACGTCGCTCAGAACCCGTAGACTGTCCATGGCCTGCTGACGAACGCAGGTATTCGGCGACGTAATTTGCCGGACGAGCTCCGTCGTCACGTCGTTGAAGGATTTCTTCTGTGCGTCGATCAGCTCGTCGGACGTCCCGTCCGGCAGCGGGCTACCGCAGAGCACCAAGAGCTTATCGAGAGCTGTCTTGGCGTGGTCTACGGCGCCGTTCGACACTTCATAGGTGAGGTCCATCATGACAAACAAGAGGGCTTTAACAAGTTGCAACTGATGTTGGAGAGCCCAAATCAGGGGCAGTCGCTCCATCAGGGATCGAACCCCGAGGCTGCCGCCGGTTTTGGCGTACCACGCTCGATCGTAGCACAGCGAGGACACGCGCTCGCTGAGGTACTCGATCAGCGGAAGCGATGAGGCTCGCTCACGAGAGCCCAACAGCGTCACTGATGTTTCGATAATTACAGATGCAGCCAATTCGCCCCTGGTATAGAGATCCTTGTCCTCGAGACCCATGATGTCAACGATGGCGTCGACGAGGACCAAGGGATCCATGAACGAGTTCAGCTTCCCGCTCTGGAAAGCCTGCTTGTGCACTGCCATGAGAGGTCCTGCCTGTTGGCTCACGGCGACCATCGTGTAGTGTTTCACCAGATGGAACATGAAGCCGAAAGCGTCCGATTGGTTATCGTTCTTCTTGGCCGCACAAAACATCGCTTTCACGGCCGTTTTGTGGGTGTTTCGGTGCAGCTGATGTTGGCAGATGTAGAGAACGCTGTACGGCGCGATTGGTCCGCGTTGGAAGGCGGCATCCCTGAAGAACGCTTCGACCGGAATGTTCGTCTCCAGAGGTGTGAGATGAGAGAGCAGATAGCCCCGGACAATGTCCCAGCTCTTTTCTCTGTAGAAAGCGTCGTTCGAAGTCCGCAGCGTATCGTAGGCCACTTCGACTAGCCGGTTCATCGGCATCCAGATCGGCATCTTATGATCGACGAACGAAACGAGGATCGCCGGTCCGTCGAGCGGATACTCGCTGAACTTCAGCTTCTGTGGCTCGACGAGCATTTTCCGATTGCCTCCTCCGAACTTGCCGAGTACGCGGAAGGCTATCTGGGCGACGTTGTCTTGAGGGTTTCTGAGTGTTTTCCACAGCGCTTGCATCAATTCCGCTCGCACCGGCTGGATGTGCTCGTAGAGATAGTCAGGGAGCAAGTTGTCAACACAGAGCTCCAGAGTACGGAGACCTTGACTGATCAAGGTCTGACTGCCGTTCAAAGCCGAAACCAGAGGGTCCATGAGCATGGGGAGGAAGGGGAGCAGAGCGCTCAGCCGAACAGGGACCGTTAGGCAGAGTTCGACAAAAAGATCCTTCATGTGCTGTTTATGCAAACCGCTCTGCAGCTGATTTAGACCCTGCAGAAGGGTCGGCAGGAGAGGGAGGAACTCGTGGTAGAGGAGATCATGTGAACCACCGCCTATCGAACGGAAGAGCGCTCGCAGAAGCAGGAAATAGTTGTACGGATCCTTCGCACTCAATGCCAATTTCATCGAGCGATTCACGATCTTGTGGAGATGGGGTTTGAGCATCTGCTCGTTCTCGGTTGGGAACAAAGACACCGATCCGAACACCAACTTGAAGAGTTTCAAGTACAGCCCGGACATTTCCGCGTTCGCTGGAATAAAGAAGCCGAAGGAATGAGCGGACGCGGAGATAAAACTGACACCCGAATCTTCTGTACGGACACCCTTACTATCGGAGCTCTGGCCCGTATGAGAGGTCATACGAGCTGCTGCATATTCGGATTCGGTCGTTGATTCAAATCAGTGTGAAGAGCGTTCTCGGAACGAGACTCACAGCCCATCTCGTCCATTCGGTCGAGTAGATATTCCACGAGTATGGTGGCGAATATGGAAGATGTAGTTCTGTTCGCCAGGAGATAATTAGCCACAGTCTGAAGAAGCGGATTCTTGTTCAAGCGCTCGACAACGTAATCGATTGTCGCCGTGAAAACGGCGCGGAACATAGCCGGAGTCATCATCGTGAAAACTCCGCCGAAGTAATCCAACACCTGCAAAAAGCCACGCTGAGCTCAGTATCCCTCAGAGCGGAAGAATTTCATAGGAATGACAATTCGTTCGAAAATCCTTTAAATATTCACGCGAGTACACAAGAATTCCGTGAAGAGCTTACTTCTTTCTCTTCTTTGCTCTTCTGGGCCAATACCGCAGCTGTAGGCGTGGGAAACTGCGGACGCACAGCTGGCGAGAAACCCTGGAGAACGAAAGCGTTGTTCCCCGTGGAGACTTGCAGCGGCAACGTGTAGATGTCGAGAGTGAGCAGAGCGTATTTCACGAGACGCGTGTAGATGACAGTTTCTTTCGTTTGGAACGTTTTGTCATCCGCTCCCGCAGGCGCGGCTTTGCACGCAGAAATCCCCCAGGTAATTGTCTTCACCCCGCAAACGAGAGTTTTGATCAGTCCGCGACAGTCAACGACATTGCAGTACGGCGTGCTCGGAGTGTTCCGTAGCTCGGCCAAGCAACTCGCACGCGACGGAGGGACCGCGCTGTCGCCCTTAGAACCGAGGGCGGCTTGTCCGCCGTCGGTCTTGACGTTCGAAGCGCTCGACACCGGGTTCGCCGACGGCGGCTCCGTTTTGACGACGATCTCATTCGGTCTCGGACCGACCGTCGATGACGTACCCGCCGCGTCGGTGGCTTTCGCCGCTAGTGCGACTTTCGCCGAGGCGCTTTCTTCGGCGAATTGCTTACTGGCCTTGACGAGCGCCGGCAGCTGAACGCGTGACATTGTGCGAAACTTCATCTCGAATACTTGCAATAGACGCGTGATAAGCTCCCGTCCTTGTATCATGGTTTGCTCCTGATTTTGCCCTTCTGCGTCCATCTGAGATTTACCCCTAATAGGCTCGACCAAATTCAGGAGGAGCTTACACGACATCGTCTGTATCGAGATCGGTAGACTGTCATCGTGAACATTCTTGGAAAAAACCGAGACAGCCGCACTCAGGTGCTTCAGCGGTAGGTTCTGCCGTACATGATGCACCAGGTCAGCAAGCGTCGAATACGCCAACGGTCGAAGGCTCTCGTTCGCTGTCCAACCGTTCCCGAGTAAAATATTCTCATCGAATAGCTTGTCAATGCTTCCGACGAATCTACCGCGAAGTTCGGTAGCTAGTATGTGACGCGCAGCTATCAGCAGCTCTTTACGGAGATGCGCAACTTCCGGCGGACACGACGTGAGCAGCGCGAGCATACCGTCTGCAAGCTGGGTCGCATTAGCATTCACGACATCTTGGTAGATTTTGACGATGTAAGCGAGGAAGCTCAGGGTTTTTATCTGAGCAGCCATGAAATCGACGAAGACTTCCCTGTTGAAATCCTTGTGAGCCCGCAACTCTTCCGACGGTTGCAGGACAATCGTATCGAGAATTAGCGGAATGAACTCCGCAACGTCGCGATGAACGTTTTGTTTGTACAATTGATACATCAGCACGACGATGATGGGAAGTTCGGCGAGGACTTTCAGCGAAAGAACCGCCTTGGGAATGATGTTCACCGATGCGTATGGGCCTGCAAGATGGGGAAGCGAACTTAAGCCGGAAACCGCCGTGATTTTTGGGGAACTTCGGTGTGTCCGCTTCGAAACTCCTTCAGGAAATATCGCCGCTCGGAAAAATCCAGCTTTGGAAACCCCGGAATCAGGGCGGGTTTTAGACTTACCATCCCCCAATCCGACCTGAACCACCGTGGTCGTGAAAGTCTCGTTCAAGAGGGTGTCCATCGACACTTCGGTGATATCTTGTACCCTGATAGCACCTTCGCGGGGCTCAAAGATCTTCTCCAATTGATTTGGGAGCCCCCGGTAAATGCTTTTCACGAACACAAGAAACTTTGAGATCTCCGAATTGAATGGTGGCCTAAACTGCTTGTGCAGCTCGATAATGATGCGAAGGCACACGAGCACGTTGTCCTCATTCTCGACTTCCAAGAGTTTGAACATTACGCTCAGGATCGCCTTGACATGGCTCCGCAAACATTCGTTCGTCGGCAGCCGATGGAGTATTTCCAAAATGAGTTTCCGCGTGATCTGCATCGAATGCTCTGCGATGTATTGTGGCTCGCCTTCTTCCAGAACTCGCAGAAAAATCGGCATCGAATGTTGCAGAAATTGTACGTATTGTGGCGATGAACATATGGTCTGAGGGAAAAACATGAATTACTCGATCGATATCTGATGCGTTCATTTCGGTATCTGTTTTAGCTTTTTTATCGTTTTTTTTATCTTCTCTCTATCTGTTTTTATCATTCTATTTCTCAAGTGGAAATACGCGGTCCCGTGATTTCGGAGTTCACCGGGTTCTTACCTCGAAATCCTCGCTGAGCTCTTGCGCCGCTTTCTGCTTAGAGTCATCCTCTGAAAAGTTGTGAGGTCGAGGATAAATTCTCGCTGGGGAGAGGAAGGGAAGGGGGATTTGACGAGTATCGAATATCGATATCCACCCGTTGCGTTCCGGAGGAACATCCTCGTCATCCGCGCATACGTACTTGCTGAAGGATCTGTCAGAAGACTGACATACGATTTGTAGGTGTTCATTTGAGCTATTGGATCCAGCATCGACGACGGAGCAGGAAGGGGAACCGTTGAAGACGAGCCCGTTTGTCCAGCTGTGCCACTGAACGGCCCTGCAGCGGAGCCTGCAGTCGCTTGTGGTGCCTGACCATTCGGCATCACGTTTCCCGACGGCGTACTTGGAGTCGGTGGGGCACTCATCTGCAATCGAGATCGATGCTAACATTTTCGATTCACTTCCGCCGCATGTAGTTACGGCTACGGCGAGGTGCTTTGTCAAGAGACTCACAAGCGGTCAGCACCGAATCAGAGCTTGCGTTGCTGAATTATCTCTCAAAACATTTAGTGTCCCAAGGTGCTCTGGGAGCATCGAAAGGCTCCTCATGATAAGCCACGGACATACCGACCCCCGAACAGTGCGTGCCAAGAAAGTTTCGAAGACCGTACTCGGAGAGCATTGGTTAAGCCAGAGCAGAGGCACCTCGCAATTTCTCGAATTCTGGCCTCGGCGATCCTTCATTATTAGAGGTCGCAGTCGGAGGCTCTGCCATTGATTCCAGCCTCACAACTCGGAAACCTGAATCACTTTCTCCATGCGTAGCAAATAGGTGCTTCTCTTTTTTCCGACTTCGCGCTCAAACATGGTAAAACCTCGGTGGTAAAAGACGAACGCATTCGGCGGTTTAGCGGAGCTCCTGTAAGGATCGCGACTCGCCGGCAGAGACCTTCGACTCTCGTTCGCTAGCTTCTTGTTCCAGAAATTCCGAATCGGTGCAAAACTGTCCAGTAAGAGCAGAGAACACGCCCGATGCCGAACTTCTGAGCGAAGCATACCGTGATAAACCTGGCGGGCTAAATACTGAGATTGAACGATTGACGAATTACGGCATGTTCCGTGGAAGCAAACGGCTGCCTTGCTCCATATTCCCTTCTCGAGATGGTGAGGATTAACTCTATTGCGAATCCCGGTCGAACCCCGGCATGAAAGCTCGAAATACTACATTCGTGCGCCGACAACCGGTCCACCATAGGTGGTTGTTTTTCGAGTAGTCTACTCACATTCGGTGATCTGTTGAACTTCGAAAAGTCACTCTATAGGTTCGATACACGTACACGAGCATTCATCTCTCGAAATCATCGCCCCCGGTACGTTCCTCGACGGATTATTCCACGAAATCTCACGAATAGCGACCGAGCGAACGGCGCAAACACCGCTAAATACTGAACTGAACCGCCAGAAACAGTGGAACAACAGCGGGACTCCGAAACCAGACGGGTGTTTTAGCTTGGAATTGTCTCAGCGCGGGGACCGAGCGAGAGAAAAGATCCCTCAAGATATCGATTGGATGAGCGTATTTCGGCGTGGGACTCGCTAGATTACGAGGAAATCTTTTTCAGAAACTCGCGACCGGAGTACATATGCACATGGGTCGCCGTGGCTTCCGGAAACCGGCCGATTCCGACGGTCGGGTCGGTCACACACTGTCACACTGCTTCGCTCAGCGGGACACATGATGAGGAAGTTGAGCGTGTCCGGGACCGCCTGGCGAAATGAGACGCAGACGACCCCGAGGAGCGGCCATATGGGCAAATATGGCGGAGATGGCGCGCTTTTCGAGAATCCGAGAATTATCGTATCTCTAATCGCAGAACACTCATCCCTTCCAATGACCACCTCCGAGAACTCTCGGTACCTCGGGATAAGGAACCCCGGAAGCATCCGAGTTTTATCACCAGAGAACATGGAGCTCTCACAAGAATCATCCGAGCATCCTCGCTATTAGGTATCCAAAAACTATGGGAGTCTCATCATCAGCATCAGCGGAGGTCCTAGACTTGAGTGGCGGTCCCGAGTCCCTGTCCCTGCAGGGATCATTGGGGATTATCGGGATGAAAGAGCAGAAAATTATCGGAACTCTATCAACAGGGGACGGAGCCCTCAGGAGGACCAGGCCCGAGAAACTGCGGGATACGGAATCCGAGAATCATTATCGGTGTTCTATCCAGAGCATAGAGCTCATTCATCATTCAGAGATCATAGACCTCATAGCTGACTAGCTATTGCAGGACGGCATCTGGAGAGCTAAACGAGCAGCAACACGGATCGCAGAAGTATATCACTCCAAAGTCATGCGCCAAGGTCTCTCACATGGAGATTCCTATGAACGGCTGTAGATACGGCAATATAAGGATTGGCGCGGAGCTGATTATACATAGAGCTCATAGCTCATGCTTACGAGCATCGAATCCGGGAGTCCTCCGCCTGAGAGACCCTATCGGACTCGATCCAGGGGCGTAGCCAGACCTTTTTGTCCACGAAGCTAAAAAGGTATGCCAAATCCTCCGAACTCTCCTCTCATGCTCCCTTGCGGAACTCGAATGAGTCGAGATTTTCAACGCTTTCTCACAATTCTAATTGACTCGGAGAGAGACTGTAGAGAGGGCCGTATTATAGGGATAGCATATGAGTATGTACTTACAATATAGTCACTATTCGCCCAATTAATTCCCAATAAAGACAGTCTGTGCATACATGAAGCTCGTGATGTTCGGGAGCTATGAATTTCTGCAACGTCAAGTTCGTCTTCCTGTCTCCTGTCGCCCCTCTCGACGACCCAATCAAGGACTATGCAGGGAGAGCTCGAGGGGATGGTTCCATTTCGCAGATATCGGACGCGAAGATAAGAGCGTGCTCTTACGTGCGTGATTGCATGGATGCTCCAAATGTTGCCAAGACTTCCGGATTGAGACAAGGGGACGAGAGAAAATTTTGAACGTCCCGGGATTCCTCGAAGATCGCAGCCGAGGGGGAAAAAAACTGGCGAAAATAGTCTAAACGAATACATCCTGAGAGCCCCAGGATGCTCGTCGATTCCTCACGGGGAGTCGGAAATACCAATCATAGGAATAACCTCGAACAATCCGTTAAGTAGAACGAGGACTCTGGCTTCAGCTGCCCATCATACTTCTGCTTAGCGTCGAGAAGAGGATCGGGGGCGATATTTCAAAATAACTTCTTGTGCACTCCAGAATTCTCATCTCATGGCGCTCTGATATAGGAAATTTCATTGAGCTTACCACCAATCATGTGGGAGGCTGTTGTGGGTTGTCAAGACGTCCGCAAGAGGACGAGAAGATGATCGACGTACTCGGAGTCCATCCACTAACACAGGGTGTAGGTTTCGGGAAGGCCCGTCATTACATCTTATATTACATGATTGTGGTTTTGTTGCGCATGGAGGGCTGAAGTGGATGGTTCGAGCGGAAAAGCGATGGGAGACTTCCGGAACATTCCCGTTGCCCCCCTCGGTGGTCTGGCGGAGGCGCACAATATCTCGTCTGGATCTTATCCGATTGAGCAGCATTCCGCATCCGTACTGAAATGTGAAAGAAATCTAGTCCAGTCTTCGTTTCGGCAAGTCATCTGGCGTCGTCAGTCGCTGGAGGGACACAGCCTAGGAAATTAGAGAGTTTGAACACGGGGGAATATGTAGAAACTCCGCCGGCGAAGTTCCCCGATGTCTACCCCTACGGGCAATCTTTTGGTGAACACCCGGTGAATATAAGAGACGATTCCACTGCATCAGATGTCTGATTCCGCGAGGGGACTAGCGAAGGGAAAGCACTCGGATATCGAAGAAATCTCATCATCTGAAGAAGAATCCATGAGCAGAGTTGCTACGCGGAAAGAGCTCGTTCAGGTCAAGCATTCGGAAGGCCGGAGTTCCTAATTCCATGCATTGGGAGGCCATGAAAGCGAGCCGCGAATAAATTAGGTCCGAATGACTCATTCAGAAGCTCGAGGCTACCGCCCGCGAGTCATTTGAGGAACCCCCCTTATCTCACTGTGTGTGGTCTGTCGCGAATCGAGCTTCCTCTGTGAAGAGCCCCCGGAGTCGTAGCTCGATTTCCTCTCTTCAGGGAAACCAAGGCCTGACTCGAACGCTGCTGAAAACTCAGCGGAAACAGGGGCACTATTCCATTTTGATGAAGTAGATGTTGCTCGCCCTATCACGACCGTCAGCCCCGGTTATGCAGAGACTCCGAAGAGTCTGACGGCGAGCGCGATCTTGACCGAGGCCGAGAACTACGCACTCCTGCAAAACATCCGACCGGAGCATCTTCGCATCCTGCTAATTGACAACGTTCTCGTCTGGCCGAATTTTGAGCATAACGCGTACACACTCATCCTGACTTCCGAGATCCTCTCTGGGAATCTTGCTTTCGACTCTTTTCTACACGAAGTGGCTACCTCGCTCAGAGTCATTGTGGTATCAAGAGCCCGTACCCGAGTGGTGGGAAGATACTCAACCCCGAATCCTTTCCAAAATTCCCGACACAACTGTCCGTTGCATGTCGCTATAGGTGCGCCGCAAAGGAGGAAAGAGCTTTCGGTGAGCACGCTGTACTGCAACGAGGACCGAAGTCGTGCCTCTAATTGCATCAAGAATTTGATGACATCGTGATTTGGAGAGGAAACTTTCTCTCTGTCCAAACAGTCGAATGGAGTGCTCCATGACGCATATGATCGCCGAAGGTGGAAGACGAATCAGCCTCCTAGAATCGATCCTGTGAATCACGATAGAAAAAAAACAAGTGGGCCACCTCAAACACATATGCAGTTTTACGGAGAGATTCGTTCGTCAGCTACTCGTTCATACGACTGCGTGAAACTGACGTCTCAGCTCTGTTCGAGCCCCTCGAGCGTGAGGCTGTTATTTCATAGTCGTCTGCACGTTAATCCTCTTAATGCTCATACCCATGCTGAAAATCGACATTTTCAAGAGCCGTTTGAACAGAATCGAGGACATATTTCGCGCGCTCACGCCCGGTGGGGAAAGGGCAGTTTGCAGACGCGGATCCGGAGAAGAGCGCGATGTGCTGCGCGAAAAACAAAACATAAATAAGAGAGCTGCATTCGATACGATCGAAGAGCTTCGCGCAAGAAATCCTTCTGAAAAGTCCACGCAGACGAGTATGTCAGCGACGGCTCGTGTGTCATCGACCAATGAAGTCGAGAGACGGGTAGGTCATTTCGAGCTCGAGTGATCGGTCTTCGTGGTTTTCTGTCAACCCCCTAGAAGCATGCGATCCTGTTGAGAGGTGAAGTTGAGAAAGAGATTGACGGTGAAAATTGACTCGAGCGCCTTTCCAGGTTCTCGAAGTCCAGATGGCCGAAATGAGGTCGCTCAAACCAAACGCGGTATGACTCTCCTATTCGCATATGAATCGGAGCTTTCTTGGAAAGTGTCGCAACTGAGAAGAATGGGGTGGTTGAGAGATCGACTAATCTTCATGAGCCTTACAGAGTGTTTATAGACAAATGGTGCACAATAGCAATGTATATTACCTCACCACGAGACAAGAAGTCAACCTGCATTTGAAAGGTGGGATAGGATGAATCACTCAAGTTGTGCCATATCGATGTGGAAATCATCCGGAGCTTGTCCTGAGTCGATGAGATCAAGATGGAAGGCACGAAACCCACCGGAGCGAATTTCTTGGCTTCAGATCGAGATCAGAAGCTACGGCTTGCTGCGAAAAAACCATAAGAGGCTACCGTATTGATGTTCGGCGAAACGAACTTCAATTCCAAAAATGAACTCCCGCGCCTCCTGCCTTTCGAGTACGACCTAAATAGGAGATTTTCATAAGGAAAACGACAGTATCTGTGATCCGAATTTCTGCCAGGGACAAGTCTGCCCGATTATGGACTACTCATAAGTGAAATCGGAAAAAGTCCCTATGAATCGGAACATTTCTAGCGAGCGGGTGTTCGCCACGATCTTTCCAGCTCGCCTCCGGGAGGGAAACGCCCTCAGACTCGAGGGGACGCAAGTTGAGCAATAATAAAGGAAGAGGTTGGAATACAAGTCTCATGCTCCTTTTTTTCTCTCAAGGGATTCAATTGTACCTTGAATCGATAGACTTTGCCATCTGGAGAGTCTCCTAATGGAAGAGCCAATGGACAAGGGCTCCAACGGAATCAAACTTGATGGGTTCGTGAAAAAAACGCGGATATCGATGAGCATCCCCGTGGAAACATTATTATCACTCACACAACACATGTGAATATTATCAAACATTCTCTCTCCCCGCGTTCACTCTCCCCCAATCGGTCGGGTCGTAGAACTGTGTCACGTCTACGAGCAGGATAACTGCGTTCCAGTCGTTGCCTTGACTCCTCGAGCTGAGTTGTTTGGAAGTTTTCGAAAAGATTGAAGCCTAGTTCAACATGCGTACCGAGTTTAGAGACGTCTCTGGTTGGAGGGCCGATGGACTGCCCGTCACGACGTTCAGCGATGAAGCAGCGAAAATGCTCGACTCCTGCATCACACAATTAACCACCTGGAAGGAGGATGATCTGGGTGAGTTGAGACCGAGAGCCAAGTAGCGCGCGAAATCGCGAGCATGTGAAGTGCCCGGTTTTTCCGCTTCGCGAGCGAGGGGCGCTTCGGAAGCCAACGCAGGGAGTTTTTGCGGCGAGGCTTCCCTTTTTAAAATCATGCTCAACGTCGCTGGTAATTCGTTAAATGGCTCGTCGTACCCTTCAGGGATCGAGAAAACACTGGAGAAGATGTCCTCAGCCGATCCGCATTTCACGCTGGGAAGAGTTTTCACTCATCAGATTCAGCTGATCGGCACCGGCACCTCGGGCAGGAAGAATCCGCAGATACTAAGTGAGCTCAAGGAGCTCAGAAAATCGGTTGCGGTTAGTCTCGGACTCGCGGGGCATTGCCGTCTGATTTGAGGCATGACCCTTTCTACCCTCAAATGAGCCATGGATGAATTAGATAGCCAAGGAAGTCAAGTTGGAAGAGAGCTGAAAACGAACTCTTCATGGAGCAGTTCATCACGGACCGGGAGTCCTCGCATTTGGATGCGGCTATCTGGCTCGCGGAGGGCCAGATGTCGGCGGCATGTCTGGTCCTGGAGGACATCTTGAAGAAGTACCCGACGGATATGCTCGCGATCAAAGTCGCTCACGATTGTTATTTTTATCTGGGTGAGTTTGATGTCCAGGGAAAACCTATCTAGTATGACTCCTAACTCCTCTCTGGTCGTTCCGCTCACAAATCACGAGCAAGGGTATTCTGGGAATATGCACGAGCTGAAAGATCTCGGGCCGAAATTCAGCCGTATCTATGGCCTCCAGGTAATCAGAGTGAGATGCTCGCGTCTATCGAAAGGGTCTTGCCAAGGTGGTCCTCCCACTCCCCTCTCCAAAATTATCTCTACGGTGAGAAAACAAGCACTGAAATCAGCATGAATCTCGCTATGTTGGCTGATGTCACGCATCGATGGGCGCTCGAAAAATAAAATCCCGACCATAGGCATGCAAGCGTTCGGACTTTGCGAGACCGGGCAATACGAGGAGGCCGGCAAGATCGCTCTCAAAGGCTTAGAGCTTGATCGCACGGACGCCTGGAGCACACACGCGAACTCTCACGTCTACGAAATGACGTCGAGGCCGGACGAGGGCATAGCCTTCCTTTCGCGGACGGTGAATGACTGGCAACCGGCGGGACTTCTGTCGTGCCACAACTTCTGGCACTGGGCCGTTTTTCACATCGAAAAGGGCGAGTCCGAAGCAGCCCTGGATTTGTTCGACTCGGAGGCGAGTAGACGTGGGAAGATCGGGAAAAAAATTCCCCGAGTCCTGGTCGCGGCGTCCTCGAAGGGATTCTTTATTGGTGGCGAATGATGCTCATACTTGTTAACGTTGCCGCACAGATCGGGGAGCGGTCCAAGAGCGGAGCTATGCTCGACTACGTGGATGCAGCCAGTCTCCTGTATCGTCTGGAACTCGAAGGGGTCAATGTCGACGACAAGTGAGTATTTGCATCCTTCTCCCGCTATGTATGAGTAGTCTTCTATGAAGCCGGGTCATTAAACATAAGGGAGTGGGAATGTTCATAGGAGGTCCCTTCTCGTAGGTGGAAAATACTGTTCGAAGAGACAGAAAAACATTTGGAGGATCAAATACTTTTGTTCAACGACGCACATTTCGCCATGACCTTACTCGGTCTGAAGGATCACGATCGTTTCCGCAAATTCCAGGTTGGTGTTCTCTATGAGGGTCTCGATCGCGTATCCATATCGTTGTCTAGGGGAGAATGAATTCCCTCTCATGACGCGACATGCCTGTCCCTCCCTCCATTCCTCTCCGTCGAATCCTTTATCAGAGAATCCTCTTATCCTGCCCGACGGAGTCCCGATGAGAGATTCTCGCGCATTTCCTGTTCGAGTAGCGTCCTCTCCCGTGCGACACAGACCGGGATCGGTCTCCCGTCATGGATGTCTCTCGGTTCAATTCATAAAATTGGTTGTCGAAGTCGTTTTCGAAGGGAGGAGAGAGGGCCCTCCAGAAAAATTCGTCAGGGATTGCCCCTTGCCGTCTAGAACAAGAAAATTCACGGCGAATATCGAAATTCCGTGAGAGGGGCGGTACTCAAGTTCTGACGACACGGGAATCCGATCCGATCTCAAAATTCCGATCTCGATCCCATAGGATTCCGTGAACTCTGTCGAAGATGTCGCTGAAATCGACAACTTTCGGATTACGAATCTTTTCGGCAAGAAGCTCATCCAAGCAATGAAGGACTACAGCACAGGTGAGATCTTGAAGGTCAAGGGCAAAATCCATGGCAGTTGTTCAGTTGATATCTGGAACAAAGGCGTGCACTGAAAATCTCAATGTTCCGCGACTTCAGGGAATTTTGATGAATGCACAACGTCCCTGCTGGAAATAAAGCCGGACCTGGTCCAAATGGGCGGCTCGGACGCACAGAGAGACGTTTTCGATCTTCTGCTGATCAATGCGGCCATCAAGAGCGAGAATCAAAGAGATCAAGCGAAGAAACTCCTCGATCTGAGATCTTGCGCGAGGCGTCAATCTCCGATGGTCGACAGACTGAAGGCTCGGCTTCAACGAAGAGAGCCGTCCCTGTTATGAAGGATTTCACCGACGACTCAGCTCCAGGGGCTGGAGACATCGAATGTTTATCCGAGATATCACGTTTTTCTCACCAAGGCGACAGTAAGTGTAACATACTCGACTAGTTTGTGAAGACGAATCACTTGGCAGAACCTCGAAGAATAAATCAGGAACAGGACCTGATTCTTCGTCTACGAGCGCTGTCGTTGGGGACGAAAGAATCGCTGTATCTCAAGGTCGCCGGGTGCCTCAGCTCGGAATGACGCGCAGGATCAAAGTTCCAATCTTGATGCTCCCAACCTCAAGAGTTCCGAATCTGAGGAACGGTGCCCCGATAGAATCATCGGGTATCCTGGACCCGTTCTTGGGGAGTCGATGCAAATAGATACCACGGCATTGCCCACGCACTTGGAACCTTTTTGTCGTCAGGAAATGTGGAGGTTCTAATGTTCCGGCTTTTGCCCGATTGTCTACCTCGTCCTCGAAAAATCATTGGGATCCCTCCAGTTTCGCTCGTGCTTCCCCTCCGCCCCACGACGACATCTACCTCTGGTTTGATGTTCAGATGTTCTACTCCAGGTCACGGACGTAACGGAATATGAAGTTTGAATTTATTTTCCGAAAGGCTGGTGACATCGCGGCGCCCCAATATCCAGGGCGCCCCAATATCCAGGGCGCCCTTAGTCCAACGGAACTACGCGAAGAGGGTCACAGGAGCGAAGAGCAGTTGGCTCTCAAGCTGTTCCGCTGTGGAACCATGTGAAGGAAGACACATTTTGCGTTCTGCGTAAGCTTTTTACTCGATACGCCTCAAAAGCTCAATGCGCATTCGGAAACGCAACGATTATCCTTATCAACAAGATTCGAGGATCGTATGGATCCCGCACGGGTTTGTCTGGCTGAGCTAAGTCAAATTCGATGGATACAATTCCTTCTGAGGAACGCGGTCGGTTCGCGAACGGTCAGACTGTTCGATCCGAGAAAAATTCTCTTGCAGTACTGTATAGATAAACGGGAAGCATCATGAAGAATTAGTATCCACCATCGCATCGCAGCTCCGAGTTACGAGCCCCCCTCATTTAATAGGTCTATTGTGATGAATGGAAGATCGGAACAAAAATTCTTCTAGACCCCCAATAATCGAGTAATAATTCCCAAAGAGAGATATGTATGTGTAGAGCGAGATGACGGATGGAAGTTTACAGGGTTTCGGAGTGGGTTCAGTGCGTAAATAGATTCTGCGGTAAGGCTGGCTCCGTGAATCTAGGGGGAGATTAGTGAATTGATTCGCGCATCGTTTTCAGCATCATACCGAATGAATGGAAATCAGAAGATGACTCAATTCCAATGTTCAATTTTGTGTGATGGGCGACACCCCTTGGTGCCCTTGCGTGGGTCCAGGCGGTCCGGCGCCTATCGAACCACCATTCGCAGCTGCCGGAACTTGAGCTCCTCCCGGCCTCTGTTGCTGTTGTGCCATCATCATGGCGTGAGCCTGCTGACGAGCCCGGAATTCCGCGGCGCGGAGTTGTTCCAGATGGAACTGCTGTCTCTCTTGAATGAGCTGCTGCCTCTGATACTCCAGGGTTTCTCTCTCTTTATCCATTATTGATTCCAGTTCTTCGAAATGCCGCAGTTTGATCTCGAGCTTTTTCATCTGGGTCTCGACTAGCAGGGCGACGAGCGACTTGATTTTTCTCTCTTCGACAGCAGCAAGATGTTTCGCCTTCACGGCCGCAGAACCGAGCGCCGCAGCTGCGGCAGCCGACAGCAACGAGTCCATCTGGAAATTGAAGGAGCGATCGAAAACAAGACCGGGGCTACCGCCTCGGCATCTCTCGAAACCGCCGGATAGTCCGAAATAGACGACTCTGAGGGCAATCATCCCGAACTTTTCAAGACGAAGACTATGAGTCAAATCACCGACGTTGTTCACCAAGAGGAAACTCACTTTGAGACGCTCCTTCTGTGACTTCTTGCGCTCGTCGTCCTCTGAATTCTCCTTGTCCTGCTCGTCTTTGACTTCCTTCCCGTGGGCTGTGTCCATGGGTTCTCCCTCTTCCTGCGGCTTGTCGGTTCCGGCAATTCCCGACTTCCCCAAATCGGTATCAGGGGCCGGCGTCTTTCCTTCGCTGACAGCTTTGTCGATGACGTTGTCCAGGTGTTGCTCGACCAGGGAAGAGGGAACCTCATCCTTGATTTTCGCAAACTCCTCCATCGCGGACTTGGCTGCGGAGCTCGCAACTCTCGGGTCGACCACAGACGCGAGAAAAGCCACCGTCGACATGATGGGGTTGCCAGCCTGAGGACAGAACTCATAGGTCAAACATCAATGGAAAAGAAGAAGATCCTAGAGGGAAGGGTGCTCGACATGAATTCGCTCACGCGACAGCTCACCTTCGAGAACGGGATCGGTTGGTAGGCGAGGGCTCCCGAGTTGACGTCGTCGCCGTCCAGATAGGGGTCTTCAATTGGTAGCCTCAGGAATTGGAGGATACACTCATCCTGAGTTCGACTACCCACGTGTTCAGAAACCTGCAGGTGGAAGCTCACATGAATGTTCCGTTCCCCTCCATGCGGATACTTGTTACGTCTTCGGAGCGAAACTCTCCGGCCTCGAGCTCCTGCACGGGGAGCTCACCTTGTTCCAGTCGTCCTTGAACATCTCTAGACCTTCGAGCAGGAGCAGAGTTTCCTGCTCGCTCCAATCTCTATTCGTTTTCTGTTTCGCAAGAGCTTCCTTCTTAGCGGCATTCGAATACTGATCGGTCTTCAAGCCGAGCATGTCGCCGATCGTCGGCTCCCCATCGGCAGCGGGCTCTTTGGGGAAATCTTTGTCTTTGCTGACGCCGTTGCCGCATGTTGAGTCATTGGAGTTCTCGTTTTTGATGGAATCCAAGTTTATGATGATCGACGATGCTGACGTCGGCGTCGCGTTCACCGTTGCGCTCTGAGGTTGATTCGTTTTCGGGGGATTCAAGGTTTGCAGACCGGAAGGTGTGTCCACCAAGACATGGAAATGAGAGGTTGAAGGAGGACCCATCGGTGTTGGTCGAGATTCGGCGTCCACTTGATAATTTATGACGCCCCATTGCTCCATGAAGGCGTGCACTCTCATAACGGCACAAACGTCACCCGCCAGGTTCCGACGACAAGCCGTGACTGTGAGGTACTCGGACGGATTCAGACGATACGCGTCGACGATAAAGTTGCGGTAAGCCATGAAGATTTCCGGCGTTTTCGAGCGGTTTTTACCGGTGAAGAATTCCGGCAATGCGCGACGCTCAATCGCGTGGATGGAAGTATAATCGAACCAAGCGGCGTATGATGGTATGATTATATGGCTCGCTTGTTCCGTCACCATGTCTTCAACAACGACCTTGAATGAAGTAGGGAATTAGTGAGGCAGAAATTGAGCTTTTTCCCACACAACTCTAGGATTAGCTCTGCAAACAGGCTTCCTTGTTGGAATTTCATTCAGAACTCACTTTTTTCTCGGGGACCAGCTCGGCCAAGTTCAGGCTTCTCGGTGGCAAACCTCCATCTTCGACTTTCTCGGCGACCGTCTCAGGAAGTGGATCCTCCATATCCTTCGTGAGATCTTCCTTGCGTCCTTTGCTCTTCCTCGCTTTTTTCCCACCTGCGCTGCCAGGAGACGGGCTGCGTCCCCGTTTCTTCGAACTTTTCTTCTTTTTGCCGCACAAGAGTTCGTCGATGGAACATCTGTGGCAGAATTAAATGAATGAGTACAGTTCCGGATCCTGCCTGTTCATTCCGATCCGGAAATCTCGCCCAACTTCGTTGATTCGACAGGAACACCACTCCACGAAAAGACGGAACTCTTACCTCCGACGGTTGTCTTGATCCACATCGTAATCTTCAGGATTCATCCACTCGTTGTAAAGCTCGGAATCCACCAACCATTGCGGGGTGACCTATGAGTTGAGAGGATCGCTTTTAATGGGACAACGAAACACTTTATCTAAAGCCTTGTCAGAGTATTGTCGATCCACGGAGGGGATGACAGGGAGCTTCGAGTCTCTTATCTTCCGAAACCCGATGATTCGAGAGCGAATTGCTCACCTCGTAGCTCGTGCAGTCCGGAGGACGTGGTGACGGCTCGGAAGCTTCTGCTTCGGCATCAGCCCAGAAGTCGTACGAGTCCGGCGTCTGGCAGAAATGAACAAGAACCTGCGAAGGAGAAGATCCGTTAACTTGGACATCGAAAGAGCTCGGAATTCACGAATAAGAGAAGAGTCATGAAACCACAACGGACCTGATTTTCTTTTCGTGAGACGCCTCGGACCCAGGTTTCTGATGTATCTTCTGGTTGCGCGGATGCGGACACAATAACAGTGGCGTCGTCCGCGGAGTTCGCGATTTCACCTCCGAGTTTGCGAACGGTTTCTTTGTGCTTTGCATCACTCACAAAAACGACAGGACGGTCGAGGAAGCGTTGATTCTCCAGCTGACGCTCAGCAACTTGGAAAAACTCAATATTCTTGTCGTGTCGATTGGGAGAAGCGAAGTCAAACCTAATCGAAATGGAGAACTTGTGAGCTCGAGACAGACTTCATGTTCACGAAGATTTCAGCCTCCTTTAGTACAAAGAATCTCACCTTCGCCAGCCTTGCTCGACCTTGAACTTGTAAGCGGCAGCGAGGAGGTGACAGAGAGCTCCCCCAGATCTAAGATCCATGAAGACACGAATGGGTAAACGAGCAAGCGCTCGAGGTTTCGGTGAGTTTCTCCCCAGGGAATCTTCCTGTCACGAGAAGGGAAGGAAGCTCGTAAGGGGAAGTGTTTGCTCCCTTTTCCATTTGAGGGAATCTACGACAATGCGAAACCGGTAATGGGAACGTGGTAAACGAACCTGGAATTGCCACATCTGAACCGTGAGCTGCGCGAGACTCTTGGCAGTCGGCGGCTCGGCCTGTGTGTATTTCTTGCATTGTTTCACGAGCCATTGCTTGACGTATTCGAATTGTTGCAAGGTCTCCGCGGACTCGTAAAACTTCAAATCCGGGCCACCTTCGGTCCGCGGTTGAAGCGACATGCTTCGCCGGCGCTCTCAGTTCATCCAAAGGACTCAAGTCAGTTGTTCAGCGGCACACCCAACAACGGAGAGGTTTATCGAGACTGAGAAATCTCTGACCGAAGCGGAGGAAACTGCAGTCACAGGTACTTCGTCTTCATAACAATTGCCGCGCCGCACACTGTCGCCGGAAGAAACACAACAAGACTCAAACTCTCAACACAAGCAGCAGCAGCAGCAGCACCGCACAAAAAAAACACACACCACCGCCGACTGACGCGCAGACGACAAATAGGAAGTAGATGATGTCGATGATCTCTGACGAGAAGTTCGACTTCGCATAGGCTGCTGAGCAGGAGAGCTCCGAGGATCGAGGGAAGAGTGAAGACAGAGGCCAGGGGCGTAAGTTGCTCGCGATCTTTCTCCGCCGACCCCGCGGCTTTCATTGAAGGTCGATGAGGTGTCGCGACCACGTTTCGCAAGGAATTTTACGGAACTCATGGTCCAGGATTTCCTTTTCAAGTATCTATACCAGGTGTCCTAGGATTCCGACGTCACGGAGACCATCGGCGCATGCGGGCTCAGCCTCGAATTGCATCGGAGATTGACAGTCGGATAGGCTAAGTTTCAGGAACGGAAGAAGGTCATATGAAAATCACCACCTTGTTTTATTAGGGAGGGGTCGCTCACACGATCATTTTGATGGTACGATGCCTAAAATATTCGCGAACGCATCGGGAGTCTCTCTTTTTATGATTCCATTTACAAGTGTTCCTTGCTTCTGTCGAGAGCTGGCTCCAGAGCGAAGCCAGTCTGGATTGTCCCATCCTCCTGGCTGGGGTAGGCTGATTGGAACAGGACACAGGGGGTAAGATCTCTTGGATATCGAGGAACCGACAACAACCATTTGTGACTCGCATAATAACGGATGCGATCCGGAGTCAACAAACAAAAAGTTTTTCAAGGTGTTCGAGGAACGAAAAGCTGCTACCCGATCGTGTCCGAGCCCACAATGAGCACTCCCCCTCCCGAGCTTTGCGTGGCCCTTCCACGGAAAAGACCCACACGCCAACAAGAATTTTCAATTACGTTGTTTTGTCAGCATGGCGTTCGTCGTCGACGGCAGAATAAGAGGCGCGCGAGATCCTCAATATACACATAAATTGACCTCGGACACGAAGCTAATTTCACTCGACTGCGGCGTTCCCTTCGCCTCCGGAATCGTCGTCTCCTTTCTCATTGTCTCTCTTCTGCAATAGTTCCACATAGTTACACTGAATAGGTTTCGAGACGGTGAGTTCTTCCAGAGCTTCGGAAACTGTGAACCATTTACGCTTGCGACCTGGAAGGAGGGCAGCGGTTAGCTCGAACGGTAGTGTCGATCATGCGATTCGGCACTCTCGGCCCGCTAAATAGCTCCAGATACATCGATCGAAGGCCATCAGACTCGCTGAAGGCAATCCTTTATTCTCATTAGACGCTCCCACCAAGAAACTGAATGGTTGATTCGAAAAGATGTGCTCTCTCCATCCTCCAGACTCCGGAGAATATCGGCACCAGGTCCTCGTGGTCTGATCGAACGAAAAGTCCGGGTATATGCAGCTAAGCATTGTGAACTCCAGGCATCAAGCACCCGGGCGATCCGGGAGCGATACGGCGGAGTGCACGGTGCTCACTGTACATCAGACTGTGACATGGACTTCCTGTTTTCACAGCCCGTCAGAGTCGCGTCACGCGACGTGACGCCCGCGCCCCGATCTGGGGCCCGCTATGTAGGTGAACCTCGTTCACATCGAGCGAATCCGGCAAGAGGGAGAAACCTCCTGTACAGCGCCCTCGAGTCGATTTCCAATGGACTTTCGCTCGTTAACAGGAGAATTTGATTGCTGACCTCTGATATTTGTAGCTCTAATGGTACAACGAATCCGATTCCTTGAACTCGCAAGCTCTTGTTATGCAGGGGCTTACCGATACTCTTCGAGTCGTCCCATTCATCCAGGAGTTCCTCGACCCGCAAGACGAAAACTTGTGTCCGATGGCGCCTCTCCAAATTCTGCGCAAATTCAAGGAGATATTTTGAGCAGGAACCTCCGAATCGGTATCTCACGAGAGAGTGCTCACGGAACATTAGCGATTCGGGAAATGGTGCGACTACAATGTAAATTTTTCGTCGATCCGGACATACCTCGAAAACGCCGAGATATCTCCCCAATGTGCCTCTGACGCCTGCCTCCTCCATAACTTCACGAGTGGCAGCAGCTGGCGCATCCTCTTCTGGTTCCAGACCTCCACCCGGCACGATGAATCGATCCGGCGACGACGAGGAAGATACCAAAAGAATCTGGAAGTGACGAGAACAGATTCAACGGGAGAGCGGGAGGGGTCCGGCTATTCCTCCCCGGAATAATGTCTACAAGCTGTCTCAGCGCTGGTTCATTTTGGGAGATCGGATGAGTCGTATGTTTATGATTTCCCTCTCCGAGTCCTCGCGCAAAGCGTCACGTCGTCCTCCCGGGGACACCGGCCTATCAGGCCGCTTTTGAGGTGCAGTCTCAGTCCGACCCAGCCGGAAACGGTCCATTCAATGTTGAAAGGATTCGATCGTTCGCCGTAACCTTTAATCGCTGCAGGCCAGGAGGAATACCTGAGCAATGACGCTTGAGATGCTCCATCCACACGGACCGGGGACGAGTTTACGAAGTTTTCTGTTTACAATGATGATGAGCTTCTCGGAAGAACAAGTCCCAAGCGGTTTGGAAGTCATTGAAGCGAGTAATCTTTTGGCCTGACGCTAACGAGTAACACTGATTATCGCACGTTCGAACGGCGATTCCTCCGGTAATAATTTCCCCGTGTCCTCTAGAATTTCCCCGTGTGTCATGGATAAGATTTACGGGAAAACGGGCATGACTATAGTAAGCAAGAAAGATGAAAGAATGACCGACGAACCTCTGTTTCACCCGCATCTCGAACGCAGAGACATGCCGCGCGGCGTCGAAAACCCTCTCCGTCATATGTCCTGGTCGAGTTCGGTTTTTCCTTCATATTGACAGATCACAGATGAACAAACTCCTATTCGTTTATCATTATGATGATCGGGCCCGGAATCCGAAAGGTAAGCTTCCCCACATGGAGAATACTCCGAAGGAGAAGATCGTTCCTCCACCAACAGCTGATCACAGCCACACTGCGCTCCGAACGATGAACGGCAGCTGACGCGACGTCGGCACGAAGACGACACTGGCGGCGTCGGTGCGCCGCTCCTCCGAAACGAACAGAAAACTGCTCAGTCGAACTCTCACACCGACTATCACCACGAACACCAGCACGAATTAGACACTCGAGCAACTAGACTCCCCCAATTAGACTCCCCCAGCAACTCTGGGAGCGGGGAATCCGAACTCCCATGGCGCACTGGCCTCCCGAATCGTTTCTGCTCTTGAGACAAGGACTCTAGGCCCGTCCGGCTGAGCGACCCTCGGGGAGCTCTGTTTTCCACTGACCACCGTCCCTCTGAGCTCAGTGTCAGACATGCAATTTCTCAGCGTGACTGAAGTAGGGTACGGCGTTCCTAGCGGTACGGCAGGAACGGTATCTCCGAGATACGTCCCTGAGGACCGAGGGGAACGGGCGTCAGGGAACGACGAATGATAATCATGCCAGATGCAAGCAGAGTAAGAGTAAACTTTTGTGCTGCAGACGGACTCGAAGACTATTATAGGACTCAGGATGATGACCATGATCTATGCTGGGAAAAGGGAGGCGGAACCCAACTCGGTCTTACTGTGCGACGACGTTTCAGGCGATCCTCGATTCCCCTCCGGAGCTCCGAACCATCCTGCCCGATACGAAAGCGTACGCACTCTTGCTCGATGTTTGCCGTGCCAGGAGTGTTTCATCACGCCAGACGAAACTCACGAGGTCTCCTTCCGAGCTAGCGTGTCGACGATGAATTCGAAGGGAGCTTATTTATATCGCGGGCTGCTATTCGGTCCCATAGTTAAGGGATCAGGAGAAAAGGCAGAAGAAGCGTTCAGGCACCAACATCAGCGGCCGATGTGCGGCGCCTCGCCGATCGCCACAGCACTTGAATTCAGCCACAAAAATTTCTAGCTAGGTAAGCGGGAAATACTGCCATTGATTGAGAGCGATGCGCTGATGACTAAACCATTCATCGGAAAATCATTTTCCTCGTTCCGTGTTGCCCCCCGTTTGTTAACGAAGAACTCGTGCGCTATATCGATCTTCAGCATGACGGAAACTTGCTCGTTGGGAGCCCTTTCCTGCACCCTCGCGAATGGCGCCTCCGTCCCGCTGTGTACTTTAGCTCTCCAGACTATCCGGGACCGTTCGATTATTTATCTATCTCATTCCTGAAGCATCAATGATGACGAGGTTGTTCGATGCCCTCATGATGGGAGCCCCGACCGAAATACTCAATCTCTTACGAGTCGCTCATGAATTCTGATAGAAGCCGATTCGCACCCATCATTCGTAAATCGTTGTTCCACCCTCATCCTTTCGAGCATAGCAATTATAAAGACTGTTTACGTTGTGCTCTCGAACTCTTAACGATCTGTTCACGGATATCGAATTTTCATCGAACGCGATGTTCAGATCGGGAGTCCATAGGGTGTACTGAGCTTCCAACTGCCGTCCATAAAACAGTGTTTCTTGCCACAACTCCTTGGGGGAGGAATAAAAAGAAGATGTGGACCTCTCTCTGCTTCCAAAGATCCTCTAACGAGAATCAGGATCTCCAATATCCGCTTGGCCAATGTACCATTCGGTCGGCAACCCTCTGAGACACCCCAATGGAATTCGTCTCCGAAGAACGCTATAGGGATGCCAACGTATGGCATGCCTGCGAAGAGCAATCCCGTGTACCTCCCTCATCAGCACTGTCCCCCGGCGATTGACGTCGAGAACCGATTCCCTCTCTCAACTTGACCAGCCTCCGCGTGTAGCGCCTAAAAGACGGACGGCCTCTTAAGGGTCGGACGTTGGAATGTGCATGTTTCTAGCGTTCGACAGAGTTACGGAAGACATCCACCGCTTCTGGGGAAGAAGCTCTAGCGAGTATCATTCTACCATTGATACGGGTTGCCGTGCATCGGAAATCGCGCCCTCAGACATATTCGAGCGTCTGGTTAAGATTTGTGGGTGGGCTCGAGTTTCGGAACATAGAGCAGTGGTTTCGGATTCATCGGTGTCGGTAAGTTTGTTCCTTCTTTTTCCTTTGGATATGAGGGTTGCTGATGTCAACCCCTCGAGAGTTCAAAACACGGAATAAAGAGAAAAGAACTCTCGGTCCATTCGCACAATCGACGTCTGAATGTCAGTGGCGGTGTGTATTCCTTCATCTACCCTCTCTCCTCTAAAGCCAGCTGACATCTCTTCCTGCGTATATATCGGCAGACTGGTTGACTGACAAGGTCATTCATTCGTGTCTACGAGGAAGGCCGGCACAGTCACATCCTGACTCTGTGAATTCTGTTTCGTGTACCGAGCAAAGGAGAAAAAAACATGAGCCGTTTCGAGTCCGTTGAAGCCGCACCCCCGGTTGCCGTGTTCGCCTTGTCACAAGCCTACAAAGCCGACAAATCTCCCCAAAAAGTCGACCTCGGCGTCGGAGCGTATCGGGGCAACGATGCCAAGCCCTGGGTTCTGCCGGTGGTGAAAAAAGTCGAACTCGAAACCGCTCAGCTCATGGGCGATCAACTCGATCACGAGTACCTCGGACAACGTGGAATCGAAAGTTTCACCAGTGCGGCTGTCAAACTGATTTTGGGAGCCGACAATGAGGCTATCGCCAGCGGACGGGCCGCCGGTGTTCAATGTCTCTCGGGAACCGGGAGTCTCCGAGTGGGAGCAGACTTCCTGGCGAACAAAGCAGGATTCACCCATTTCCTGGCGAGTGCTCCCACATGGCCGAATCATTTCGCCGTTTTTAAAGATGCCGGATTCAAAAGCAGCGGCACCTATCGCTACTGGGACGAAAAGACCCGGGGGCTCGACTTCGCCGGCATGAAAGAAGATCTCAACAATGCTCCTGAAGGATCCGTGATCATTCTTCACGTCTGCGCTCATAATCCCACCGGAGTAGACCCGACCCAGGACCAATGGAAGGAGATCGCTGAAATTTGCAAAGCCAAGAAACACTTTCCGTTCTTCGACTGTGCTTACCAAGGATTTGCGTCGGGGGATCTGGAAAAGGACAGTTGGTCCCTCCGCTATTTCGTGGCGCAGGGCTTCGAACTCTTCTGCGCTCAGAGCTTCGCGAAGAACTTCGGACTTTACAACGAACGTGTGGGTAACTTGTTGGTCGTGATGAATTGCAAGAAAGCACTGGCGAGCTCTCTGTCTCAGATGTCAGTGCGAATCAGGGCCGCTTACTCGAATCCTCCTTTCCATGGAGCACGGATCGTGTCTCAAGTTCTCAACAATCCGGAGCTTTTCAACCAATGGATGGAGTGCGTTAAGACAATGTCGTCGAGAATCATCAGTATGAGGAGTAAGCTCAAGGCCAAGCTCATCGAGCTGAAAACTCCGGGTAGTTGGGAACACGTCACCAATCAAATCGGCATGTTCTGCTACACTGGCCTAACAGAGGCGCAGGTGGCTCACATCATCAAGGAGCACCACGTTTATCTCATGAAGGACGGCCGCATTTCCATGGCTGGGATCAACGACAACAATATCGACCACGTCGCGAAGGCCTTCAACGATGCGGTGACGAACGTTCCGGCGAAACTCTGAAAGAATCTCTGTTTCGACCAGCAGAGGAGGCAATGATTTGATCTGAAAATCATCGAGTCGATGGATTAGGGAAGAAACTCTCGATTTTAAATATGTTCAGAATGCTGACAATGATGATAAATGATAATGTATTGAAGAGTCCGACGATACGTCGCTTTCCATGAGCCCGAAGCGTCTTTCCTTCGTCATGACTCATAAAATCACGTGTCCCCTCCTCGACCCACGCCCGAACCCGAAGACGGAGAGCGATTGGCAAAATACCATAAGCCGCGTTAGTGGATCCTGTCTGGATCTGATCCCGACTGCAGAATCTTCCTAAGCGAAAACCCAGCTCGTAGCCCCGCCTAGAAGTCGAAGCAGAATCTTATCATCTGAATTCGGAACGCCCATAGATATCGATAGGGAGCCTTGACAGATACCCTCCGCTGGCGACAAGTTCACTGACAACGAGCCGCCGTCTCACCGTCTTCCTCAGCTATAATCTGTTTCCCATCGGTTCTCGACTTGGTTTCGCCACAGAATCTCGTATCCTCATGAAGACGTCCAGGAGAATATTCTTCAATAGAAGCGCATGAGCGAGGCATGGCCGTGAACCGTTTCGGGTCAATACATACTAGAATAGCATCAGGCTCGTGCGTTAGTCGCGTTCTCATTTTGCTCATACTGGGTGACAAACAACGGCCCTGATTCATCGAGAAGGAACTCCAGATGCTTTTCAATAGCGATCGGAAGCGCACCCGATGCTCGCTACTCACCTGCTGTTTCTAAGGACAGTACTTACCGATACCGATGCATAGGAGGAAAGAAGTTCTGACGCGGAAGCCCCGTGATTATCCCGTCTAGATCGGCCGTTAGCGGCACTTTGCCATCAAGTCCAGACCTCTCGCGGGTAGGCTAGGTACTAAGATTCGTCGCCAAACCATCCCCGCTTATTCTTCGACTGAAGTCTTATTATTGCTATCGTTTTCTCAAATTATCCTCACTGATCCCGGACTTGAATTAGTTGCATTGCTCATACGGGTTCTACGGGTTGCGGAATTCGGTTTGCCGGCTACAGGTGGTCTTCTCGGTATCCCGTTCTCATTCAGTGGTAAACCGAGCGGCGGGACTCCTCCAGCTTAAGCGATAGAGACTGCGCACTGATAATGTTGATAAGATGCGATATAAGATGCATTCCTTGTAACGCGAGACGACGCTCTCGAGTATGGTCGATCGGCTACTGCTCAAGGAGTTTGGGCTCATCGGGAGCGTTTCTCCCGAGGCCGCGAGAGCCTTGGGTTTGTGATCCTGCATCCGGATCTCCGTGGGGAGTCTGCTCTCCGGAATCTCCTCGGAACCGTCTGTCTCAGACTCCCGATATCTTGTTTTCCAGTTCCCTACAACGTACCAAAATGCGTCGGCGTGTCGGAGTGGCCGCGGTTCAGAAATCCCGTCAGGCGGAGGAGATGTTCCGACAGAAGAAAGATGAGCTAGCCGCATTGGAACTCCATCAATTGGATCAGCAATTAGATTCGTTCAAACAGAAACTCGAAGAATTCGCCAGCAAGCACAAGAAAGACATTCAGAAAGATCCAGATTTTCGGAGAAAATTCCAAGTACGTCTTCGCCGACTCGGAGTGATCGATACCTGCAATAAGCCCAAAGAATGGCAGCCATACAAACCCTTGCTTTGCAAATTAAGGGTGCTCTCGATTTCCAGGAAATGTGCGCCAATATCGGTGTAGATCCGTTGGCGTCATCGAAGGGATTCTGGGCGAATTTGCTCGGGGTCGGTGACTTCTACTACGAGTTGTCTGTGCAAATCATTGAAGTCTGCCTAGCCACACAGCACATAAACGGGGGTCTGATGTCGCTAACGGAGCTCCTGAATCGAATCCGGCGAGGTGATGACGCAATGACCCATAGCTATCCATATTTTTTAACAATCAAAACTACGAGCAAGTGTTTACCCTTGTTTTCGCAGCCAGATCCTCGGGTAATCGGGGGTCGGTGCCCCCGACGACTGATTATACACTTCGTTGAGACTTGTACATCAATCCCTTTATCTCCTTCCAGGGAAGAATCGGAGCGACATTTCTAGTTCCGATCTCATCTCAGCAATAAAGAAAATCGGAGTTCTGGGGTCAGGCTTCCAACTTGTACCAACGGGACCTGAATGGTACGTCCAGAGTGTAGCAAGAGAACTCTCCGTGGATCAGAGTGAGGTCATCCAGGCGGCTGAAAAAAATCAAGGAATGGTGAGTGCTTCTTTGGCCGTATCCACCTGACTGTTCGGGAAGTATTTTGCTTTGAGCGACGATAACGATGACGACGCGATTCCGTCCTTGCAGGTCAGCGTTTCACTTCTGTTCGACGAGTACAAATGGCCTCGACCGCGGTGCGAGAAGGTTTTGAAAGAATTAGTTGCCGACAACCTCATCTGGGTGGATCTAGCGCCCGAAGAGGCAACCTATTGGTTCCCCGGAATCTTCCAAGCAAAAAGAGAAATCATCGATGAATGAATACTTGAGTTTTCGTGCCACGTTTCTGAGTTGGGGGAAGTCGCTTGTTATAGAATAAAGAGTCGTTCCCACGCATGAGGACATTGACGGGTTGTCTTACTCGGTTTCGTGTTGAGATCGCTTGATCGGACGTTTTCAGGCGGTATGAATTGATGCGTCGATCGATTCAGAGATTTGAGCATCTCCTCTTCCGAGGGCAAGTGTTTTCTAGAGAAAGAGGGAAGTATACAAAAAACTCCTCAGTATCGAGACTCTTTGAATGAAATAAGTTCGACCTAAGGAACGACTTACTCATGGTGGATTCGGAGCGCGCTCTGATGGCGACTCTGATCATTTTCCGGATTCTTGACCCCAGACATGCTCGCGGGAGGTGTATGACGTCGTGCCTTGCAATTCTAGGACAGCAAAATTAAGCGATTGCGGAGAACTTCAGTCCCCACATGCAGTAGATCCGGAGCTTTCCCTTCCGCGGGAACCTCGGCAGAGCTCCTTCAGTCCCGTGGCACCCCGAATGTGCTCTCCCATTTCGCAGACATAATGTTATGCTCGTCTGTCGGCCGGTCGCGTGGAGACGGGTTCCATACGCATCCAGGAAAAGCTTCCGAAGTCTTAGACAGCAGGTAGACGCCGAAAGCAGTCCCGAGAACCCTGGAGTCTACAGCCGCTCGGAAATTCCCGCGCAGAACCCGAGAAACGCTTGGCGCAACTGCAGGTGGCGCAAGGAGTGGCCGCGAGACCCTACGGCTCTCTGGGGATCTCGTCGACGATTCGTTGAAAACGGGCGATGTAGATCCGAGGCTCCCGCAGAAACAACTTTCGGAAGCTCTGCCTGACTCGGAGTATGTAGCTTAGTAGAGTCCCTTGTGACGGACTTCAAGAGACCGCCGAAATTGGTCTTCAATATCCGACGTCCGTTAAATCCTAACACCTGCCTCGAGAGGCCCAGGATGAATCTGAGGAGCTGAATGCTCACTCGCCCCTTTCTTTCATGATTACGCGCGAGTAATCGTGACGAGGATTTCAGCCTTTATTACTTTTGAAGAAGTTACCGCCTGGAAAGAATAGGTTCGTTGTTATAACTTATAACGAACCTATTCTTATAACCGAGTAGAATAACATAGGACGAGATTGGACCGGACCAGGGAATCAGTCCGCTGTATCCGAGTGTCTGTTATTGTGTCCGTTACCGTTACATCCGAGTCTTTTCTAACGGAGTTTCACTGTATGTAGCTAGTAGCTAGCGATGGTCTGCTGCGAGAGGATCGACGAGGCGCCAGCGTGTGCGCGAAGGGGATAGAAACAGTCGACTCATCGACTCCTTCATTCAACAGCTTGAGCGATTTGAATCTGATCCCACGCCTGCGTCACGGGTGCTCAGCGCACTCACAGAAGTTGTGGTGGACGACCGTTATTAAGCCCCGTCGAGCCTCCTTCGGTCAGGTCGCGTAGAACTTTCGAATTTCGCGGTCCTTCATGACATCGGGGGAAGGCTCACATAAACAAAACACACTACACGTGCGTGAGTTCTCCGCAAAGAGTGATGCGTTTGGATTATAGGGTAGCGATCGATGCTTAAATTCAGATTGCATTCGCGAGGCCATGACTCGTGTGCAGAACGGATCCGCAGTATCCGAGGGAGCTGCCGAGAGCGAGGAATCAAAAAATGTGGCCCAACTGAAAAAAGTTTTCTCAGGTCAGTCAGAAGCTCCTCCAGCGCTCGACTTCCCTGCTCGCACTGGGAAATTTTCGTCTGGGATATTCAGCCGCGAACTCCCGCTTTTTTCCTCAGAACTCAAAGACAAGAGCGGTCTCTTGTGCGAGAAGTTAGAAGCGATGCGATCCGAGATCGCCGATGGAGAAACGAAAGATGGACTATCGTGGTTGGAGGTCAAAAATCAAATGCTGTTGGGTTACCTGATCGATACGAACCATATTGTGTACAATAAGCTCAAAGGTAAGGTCTGCGACCGAAGACTCCGATTCAATTCTGCTCGAATCCAAGCTCAGATTGGTTGTCGGCTGCTCTAGGCAAATCGATCGCGTCAAGCCCGTCCGTGAGCCGACTGGTGGAACACAGAACAGTCTTAGAGCGGATGCGACCTGTCGACCAGAAACTGAAGTATCAAGTGCAGAAGATGATGCGGATCGCAGCGAGTGGCAGAATGGAGGAGAACGATCCTTTGAGCTTCAAAGCCAATCCGGATGCCTTCGACTCCGATGGAGAGACGGGAGCAGCGGATGCTGCAGATGGAGGTGTGTTGTCGATTATCCTCTTCCCTGATAGATTATTATTAGATACTATTTTCATTTCTCCTATCTTTGATGCCGCACGCCTTGTTATCCAGAGCCAGCAGCCCGTACGGCCAAGGCGGCGACGAACAAAACCGCGAAGTATGTCCCGCCGAGGCTGGCACCGGTGCATTACCTCGAGGATGAGACGAAGGAAGCCCGTTTGGAGCGGCAGATGGAAAAAGCAAAGAGGAAGGCTCTCAGCTCGAGTATCATCGAAGAACTGCGGGATGAATTCTGCGACGGTCCAACCGAAGTCCGAGAGGAATATAATCCGCATAAGGAACGACTCAACAAGAAACGCCGAGAACGTGAAAGATACGAAGAAGACAACTTTGTCAGATTACAGGTTGGTCTTGTCGTCTGATCTCAGTTGGGACAGTGAAGCTCGTTTGACTGCTGCAACGTCCCGATGGATCGTGCTCGATTTCCCTCGAGTAATTACCTTATCCCTCATTGCAGGTGTCGAAGAAAGAGCGTCACGAGAATCGTCTCAAGGGTGTCTCGGCCCTCGATGACATTACCAAGTTCAGTGGGCCTCGATTGGGTTGATGGTTTTGTTTATTGTTCACATCACCATGTCCATAGTTTATATAGTTCAATTATCTTCAAAACAATGACGGGAATCGAGATAATTCCCTCCAATCGAAACATTTGGGTAGTATTTCTTCGGCCGAGCCTCCACTCAGATTATTATATATGGGTGAAGAGCCTCGGAACTAGGTTAACATCAGTACAACTTTAATAATGGCTCGTCCTAAACGTCATTTATGCCGCCTGCCATACTCATTTAGCGGTCACTCATTTTGAATATGAATTATCACATTAATTGACGGACGTATTCCCTTCATTATGAAAGCGATCGGCATCAATACCCGCTCTGGTTCGCCAGTAGACCCGGACTCGAGACAGATTCCTCGGACACCGTAGGACTAATGCGCGCTCATCCATACATTGCTCTGAAGTAGATTAGCTTGTGATCAAAGTCTCGAGTCGGGGGCTTTGTCAGTGAGCTCAGCGGCTCCTTCGTAGGTCGCCAAGAACTCGATGATGCTACCCGCGACTTTCTCCGGCTCATCGAGATGGACAGTATGAGTGCCCTTGACCTGGAGGAGATTGAAATCCTCGCAGTTTTCCTTGTATGTGTTTACGAAAGATTCGTACGGAATGCCGTCTAGGCGCCTGTTCTCCTCGTGCTTCGCCAGAATCACGAGAAGTTTCCCCTTGTAGCGTTTCAAAATCTGTTCCTGAGCTTCATAGTCGTAATTCAATATTCTGATAAATTTCAAACGTGGATCCGTTCTTAGAACCTGGAATCATGGGAGAGAACGTAAGTGGGTCGCGTTCTCCGACCGTGACCGATCTCCCAAAAGTTGATTGCTCATCATTGCGTCACTCACCACGCCTCCTTGATAATCCATTGTGGCTCTACGCATTATGATTTCCGCACTCTGGCGAGAGAGGGAATGCGGTGTAACGTACATCCTCCTGTCTACGACCTCATCGAAATTTTTGTAAACTGGGGCCTGGCTGTGCTTCTTCTCGAACGCTAGGAAGTCATGGATGTTTTTTGCAGTCAGCTCGGGGAGAAGCGTCTTTTTGCAAGAAAGAATGGTGAGCATGTCCAGCGATACTATATGCGTAACCATCTCAGGGAAAAGCCCGGCGAGTAAAAACGCCGTCATGGCTCCCATCGAATGAGCGAGGATCGCGAAGCCGCCCCATCCCAAGACATCGGCTAACTGAAATATCAAAGCTTCCGCTATCTGAGTGAGACTGCCAAGAGGAAGCTCAAGGCCAACCGATGATAGCTGATTTCGCGGTCTCCAATGGTCGAGGGAAGTTTATTGTTTCCAGGGACTCACTCGTTTCATGTCGATGGCGAACTCGAGGACCGTATACACACTTCCATAGGGACGATGGCTGGAAAGTCCGTGTCCGCTCAAGTCTATCGCGATGATGTGTAAATCTGACGGTAGAAGGGGGCATAGCTGGAAGACAAGAGAACTCTCTGGGCACTGTGACAAATGACAAGTCGGAATGATGAGGAATTCGGTTAAATGATGATTTATAGCGCATATTTCCGAGGCGAGTTCTCCGCGTTTCTTCGGAAAGTTTCGCTATTTACCTTGGAGAAGGAGTTCGAATTATCCATCCAGCCATGTATCGCGAGCACTTTTCTCCGAGACTTCGGGTCACCCCATTCTTGGCCAGCGAGATGTCCCCACGGCATCTGGAACTGGACCTCACGGGGCTGCTGCATGGTATCTGATCGAGAGAGAAGGTATAGTCAGGAGAAGCTCGACAAATCAGAATGTTTCCATGTCTCCCCGGGAGTTCGTCATCTGAAGGTCAGTCAACGAATACGCTCCTTTGTTCCAAGCCTCATCAAGGACGATGCTGAAACCTAAACGGTCCAAGGTACTTACGAGTTAAGGTTTGCCGCTTGAAGAGACCTTATCCAGCTCTCAACGATGGAGTACTGTCGCTAACAGGAGCCCTCACGCCTGCTGGAGGAATAGGCGACTACATTCGTATGTCGATCACGGTCAGAAGCTTCCACCGTTTTTCTGTTTCTTTCCTCACAGCTGGCCGGGCATCGCAATCACAGGTGTAGCGGTGATGGTGGTGAGTGGTAATGGACAGCTGAGCGCCGTAATTCAACTCGGCTCGAAAGTCTCCCGAGCTTAAGTATGGCCCTCACGCCGAATAGTGTGAATCTCTTGTCGATCCGCAGCCATCTCCACAGATGCTGGTGGGAAGGCCGTCCACGGCGGAATGAGATAGAAGTATACGCTCGAAAATATGGAATCTTGACGGACGGGGACACTGGTGTCGATGATCTTTGCTTCGCTGAGCCCGAGTCCGAGCGGGCCGGAAACGGTAGTTCACTGCTTCATCGGGATCACTCAAGAGCTTCCGTCGAGGAAAATCCGGCTTCAATTTGCCTGAAAAACACCCCTTCAGAGCGGTCAGGCCGATTTCCGTCGGGGAGATCTTCGATTCATTGACGTGCAGGGTCGACGTTGAGCGTAACTAACGGCAGCATGAAGACGGATTAAGTTGACGGTTTTTTCTTCCGTGGAGACCATGTGAAACTTCAATCAATGGCTCTCCTCCGGCACGGGACTAGGAGATCCGACGCTTCATCGAGGAACAGTTCTCTTAGTCGACAGAGCTCTTCGGACAGATTCGAGGATTATTCTAACCGTATGATGATTATCGCGATACCTCGATTGTTCGAGGAGCAAATTGCGTCCAATCACTGTCACGATTGTTTCTGCTCGATGCTTCAAACCTAAGGGGCACTCCTCAGAGACTGAACAGGATCAAGCCTCCAAGAACGATGAGGAGGACGGCGTGGCTATGTTGGAAGAAACGGCGCGGCATGGCTCTATTGGAGGGAAAAGCTCGATGGAGCTCGGAGTCGGAGCGCCTCATCGAAGAACCCGAGACTGCAGAAGTCGGTAGCTCCGAGGGGCGATTCGTGAAATTGTTGCACAACACAGGACGACGAAGTCATGTTCCCCTTTCTCTAATTCAGCGAGCCCTCTCAAAGCGCTGCATGCCATTCGACTGCATGAGTTATTGAAGCGCTCGAGACCTCAATCGGAAACTCCACAGGGAAAAAGCTCCCTCAGAGTGATAAATAACAAACTACTTTATTTTTCCAGCAGAATGCCTGCTACACGTTTCCTCCTGACTCGTGACACGACATTCTGTTCGCTCACGTTTATTCGTTCAGTAAATAGATATATTCATATATACTCGTCGGTTTTAGAAAGTTGTTCAAGTGTATTTTTCGCTCTGTTGTTCCTTTTTATTGTATCATTTCGAAGGGAAGCAATGATTCGTTTTCCATTGTTGAAAGGTCGGATCTTCGAAAATATATATATATTTTATATATTCCGATGATGAAGTCGTTCTTTACAGATATATTTACATGAGAGTGGATTGATGAAAGAATCTTCCGCTCGTCGATCTCGGCAGCTTGCTAATTACAGTAAAAAGAGTGTCAGACATTCGTCGCGGTCTTCAAATGGAGGCGAGAGCATACAATTACGAGATGGACGATTGGTCTACCTAGTATTCGCTTTTTCACAATCACGGACATCAACCGATTTAGAGTCACCGTCGATAGACACTATAGGAATCCGTATTTATATATTGATCCTTACGTTTACATAGTATGTACAAATTGCGCAGTCAGAAATGTGCATCCGGTGCGGAAGCTAACACAATAAAGTAGTTAACCGCTGCTCGAGGTCAAGCTGAATTCTATGCAGACTCTGCTTGGGATCCACAAACGAGAGCGATCTGCTTGCCAGATTCCCGTGTGTTCTAATTGCAGAAGTTCTCTGGATTCGACGAGATAGCCAGAAAATCATTATCGATGTCGCTACGAATAAGTCTCACGCTTGAACGTCTCAGCGTGACAATACCCTCGAGGATCTCTAATGACCAGCTTCGCGCCAAGACTGCTATGGAATTATGTACATTCTGCCCGTTCTCTGCTTCATGTCCCCGTTGCATTCGATTTCCCAGCCGTGCGATCTATCATTCAAGCTACGCCATTGAACTTGTCTATCCGATAAATTGCTTCTCTGACATACATCACGAATAGTGTTGATGGCATCCACATTGATGCGTGGGCCGACCCGCTCTCCACAGCTTGGAAAAATTCTGAAAGGAATAGCACCGACGTTAGCGAAGAACATAATGCGTTTCTGTGAGACATTTAGGAGCACAGTTTGTCGGGGAGCGCTCAGGGAACCTCTCCGAATGAATCGGATCTACCACTGAATATCCATCGATAGCCGTCGACCCCCGCCCCTCCGCGATGGAACAACCCGCGCCAGAGGACGAGTCGAAAACCGATGTAGAGTGAGAAAGAGAACGTACCTTGGTTGTTGGACTCGTTGGTCAGGTTCTCGGCCTGGGTCCAGAGATCAGCTGCTCGAATCAAGAAGGAATTTCGCTGATGATATTTGTGAACCTGGAAAAGTGGGAACGTCGATTGAGATGATGCGATTAATGCAATTCCGGCCGCGGGTTGTCGCCCGTCGGCATCGAGGATACCGTTCTCACGAGCTAAGATACTCACGTTGGCTACAAGATCAGCGTTGAGTGTGATTGTTTTCGGCTGCGAGATCAAAGCCACGTCCTGACGAATACCGTTGTCCCGATTGTTCGGCACCCCCGAAGAGGCGCTGCTTTGCGAGCCAGCCGGAGAGACCGTCGTTCCGTTGGGGGTTGACTGTTCGTTGCTGTTGTGTTTTCCAGTGACCGGGATACGGAGAAACTCCTGTTGACTGCTCAATAGACGATCCCTAGAATACGAAAAGAACGTCAGACCGTCTCTCATACACACAATCGAGATTGCCTGCTCTTCAGAGTCTCTCGCCCTCCGGCCGACGATTGGAGAGCGATACATACCTCGATTCCTTGTCTCGATTGTAGACGTGGTAGATCCGATAGCAAAGGAAAGCTTGCACTTTCAGGCATAGAATCGCTAACCGGCACTCCTGAGAGCCACCCGGAGGTGCCTTCTGCAATCCTTGGTTGAAAGTGTGCTTCACCAGCCCCAGAGTGTCTTGGAACATCTTCACCGCAGCTGAAGATTCGGGACGAGCTAGCTCCATGGAGTCGCCTGGAAATTGAAATAAGGGAGAATGAAGTCTCGGTTCGAGCCCGTTGCTGGAATCGCAAGAGAAAGATCGATTTCGAAGAAGATGACACTCACCACCTAGGAGGAAGCAAGCCGCGGACCGAAGATATTTCTTGGCTTTCGTGGCGTTCGTCGACTCCGAGTCTCCTCCGTGTTTGAGAGCTTTCGCTTCCTCGATGAAGGTATCGTACTTGACCCGCTTCGCTTCTCGCGCCATCCGCTCGGCGGCATCAGAGAGCGTCATGCCCCAATCGAAACGATTAGTGGCAAGGTGGTGCTTGTACAGAGCGTAGGCCTCCCGTTCGTGCCTCGGGGTCTCGTCCTTGAGTTCTTGCTTGACTTCCCGACGATCTTCCTTCGTCGTCCGGCTGACGGCGTCGCCCGTCCCTGCGGACGCTGTCGAGGGTCCTGCGAGCGGTTTTCGTTCCTCCCGACTTCGTTTTTCCTCGGGCGCAGTTCGCCGCTTCTCTTCCTTTCGTGCACTAGTCGATTCCTTCTCTCGTCGTGCCGTCGCATCGATGTCAGCCTTGCCCCGATCGCGTTTCTCACTGATTCTCTTCCGTGACGCTTGTGGTTCTTCTTTGAGTTTCTTAGCCTTCTCTTCGGGACTCTGGTGCCTCTTTCTCGAACTACTGCTACTACTGATGCTTTCTATGCTCATCGGGGAATCGCACCGTCGCTCCTCGCCGTTCTTGTTGGCTTGCGCGTCTTTGGACTCCTCGACGCTGAGCTTCGTTGGTGCGGTCGACTCGGAACGGCTCGGCTTGACGTCGAAATGGGCAGCGGAATTGTTCGCGCTTACCTGATTGGAACTATTATCACATTTGGACCCTTGGAGCGGTCTTCGTTTCAAAAGACTCAGAGGAATTCTGACCATCAACGACGACGCGTCGTCTGCGGTTTTCCGTCGTTTCTGCTGACTTTCCTCGACGGAGACACCATTGCTTGCTTCGTGCTGATTCTGTGGCATCGGGGATACCCGAGAGGCGTTGAGTTTGCGCACGGCCGAGGCCTTCGCCACAGAGGGGCCCTCGGAGTCCGGGGTGGCCGAACTCCTCGTATGCCGACCCACGGGCGCGGCGCGCCGCTTTTCCGCCGACGACGACGGCTCCGTAGACGACTCCTTCCCGTGATCCGAGCCACTGAGGCCTCGCTTCCTGCGATGTTCACTGCGGGTATCGCGGGCCGTCTTGCTCGGCGTTGCATCGCACGAAGGCGTCGGACTCCTCCGGGGTGAGCTCTTCATCGGAGACTTGACGCTGCTCGCGACAGAATTGGGAGTTGCTCCTGGCATGAAAGCGGCCAAGCTCCACGAAGCCTTGCTCTCTTCGGCGTTCGTGTCGTCCGAAGCGGACAAAGGCGATTCAATGGATTGGCCTTCGGCGGAGTTCGGAGGCTGAACCTGCAGTTGAGGCACTCTCTGCTGTGGGAACAGGCTTGGTACTCCGCTATCTCCGAAATGATTGCTCTTATCGGGGAACTTCTCGGCTGTAGCGAAAGATTTGTCTGGAAAAAAGAATTTCGCCTAAGTAAGACATTCCTGAAAGATGCAGATTCCAAAGGAATATCCTCCATAGCCATGGACGGGAAAAATATTCAAAGCGAGGTCCATTCGAGGTAAAAGTGTCGAGATGGGGAAATGCTTACCGAAGGTTGCGTTCATGCGCATCGATTTTTGCTCAACGTCTGAGTCCTGACTGTCCTCCTGCGAGGCGCTCTCGTGGTCGTCGTCCTCATCGCTCTCAGAGCTGTCCGAAGACAGACAAGATGGCTGGTTGTTCGGCACTGAAGTATCCAGAGGTTTCCTACTGGAGACAAAGGAAGTCGTGAATAAGACCGTTCCAGGGTCATCTCGGGTCCGCCCCCGTCGTACTCGAAACCGTAGAAAACGCGATCAGAAACTTACTTGTTCACAATTGCGGGAGCCGTCGTTACAACTGGTGCGTTCATTGGGACCGCCTGGTGCTGCTGCTGCTGCGAAGTCATCGCGAGTGGCTGACTGTGTAACCTTTGGTTTGGATTTGAGGATGCGGTCATACTTGAAGTTGTTGTCGTCGTCGTTAGAGGCGCGTTGAGTATCGTTGCCGTTGTGGTCACGTCCCTCTGAGGACTGCTCATAGGGCTCAATGCGACCGGAGGTGGCTCGATCGGCATGACCGGCAGACCTCCGATGCCCAGCGTGTTGGAGAAGGTGGGCATGTCGTTGGCTGTCGCTGCCACCGGAGCCGATGTCGTCGACAAGTTCCGCAGCTTGTCTTCTCGGCCGTCCTTGCGTTTCGGCTCGCGTCTGTCGATCTCATCGAAGTTCGGAAGAAGTGGCGGAACTTTCATCTCTTTCAATACTTCCTCGATACGGCTGAGGTCAGTCGTCGACGCTAGCGCGTCATTTCCGTCATTATTATTAATGGTGTTGTTATTATTGCTGGCGGGTTTGGGCGCAACACTCTTGAAAGGAGGCACCGTGCCCTTCTTGGCGGGAAGATCCTGGCTCACTGGTTTCGTGGAGGCAGCCGGGTCAAACGCGATGTGACTCTTCCGGGCCGCTGCCGTCATCACGGGAGGTTTCGAGTAGTTAGGAGCCTGACTAATAGCAACCTGTTTGGGATTTTGTTGAGAGTGAAGCCCCCTGAGTGGCGATGCCACACCGTTCGACTGCCTCTGTGCAGGACGGTTATCTGTCGGGGGTTGGGTTGCCCCAACTCCGGCCTGTTGGGGCCTTCGGGCTGGCTGCGGGGCTTGAGGCGGATGCTGCGCAGGCTGGGCTGGCGAGAAATGCGGAGTCGGACCGTGCGGTAGCGGACCGTGGGGCGATCCTTGGTAGATCTTCGACAGGTTCTGATAATCGCCGAGAACGTTCTTCACCATGACCGAAGTCGCATCTTCCTGCTCCACCTGGATTGGGGGGAAAACATCGGGAGTCAGAGTTGACATCACAGACACTTAGGCTGAGATCCGAGATCACGAGCGAAATTCGACAGTTCAATGCGATCGAAAGACTTACCTTCACAGGCGCTGCGAAGAGGCCGGGGTTCAGCGTTGAATGAGGTAGTAGCACAGAGTTTCGGGTCGGACGGTTCTGAGTGCCGTTGCCGGGCAGAACGCCCGACTTGGCTCCCATTTTCTGACGCTCCCTCGCGGCCTCCCGCTTGAGAGCCTCACGGTCCTCCATGCTGTGGAACATAGTTCGAGTTTATCACTGGTCCTATGCTCTTCTGACTTCGTAAACCGGTGTTCGGAAGTTTTGTTACTACTCGATTAAGAAGCAACGATGACGCATCACCCTCACCCAGCCCCCTCCCCTCAGAGGCGATCGAGGTTGATTTCGGATTCGGAGGGGTGATAGGGTGGTCTCGAGACGATCTGATGTGTGAAGAATTCCGAAATTCTACCCATCCAGATCGCGGCGGGTAATAAAGGCTCTAGAGCGCTCAGCGCTCTCGCTTGATGGGTTCGTCCCGGAAACATTGATTGACTCCGCGAACCCCGCGAGCGATTGGAATGTTTTCAGCCAATTTCGAAATTAGAGACTTCTCGTGTGGTATTCCTACGATCTTCCTATAGTATTCCGATCTTTCTATTACTCTGTGCACCTTTCTCGAAACGTGTACCATGGGGCGATGTTCACCGAGATAAGAGCATCACGAACTTTTTGGAAAAAAGATCCGTACCTCAATATGCAACGATCTCCATCTAGAATTTAGCTGTGAGCGAGGCGGAATTCGACTCGGCAGAATTATTTCCTCCTGAACATGGAACCGATTCTCATGTGAAAACGAAGCGAAATAATAAGAGAAAATGTGTGGAGCCACAAAATGCTGATTTCTGTCTAGCGCCGCGTCGTCTGGTCCAGTGATCCCCGAACTTCCTCTCCCGTGGAGCTCCTGAGGGGGTCCGCAGGGGATCAGCGGATCACCACAGTGCCGTTCTCTGAGCTATTCCAAGATGCGTATTCTTCTAACAACGCGAAACCATATATTGCCATCGATGAAGGTACAAATGATGCATTGGAACACAGGAATAAAAGAAAATAGCAGACTCATAGGAGGCTCGCGGAACCCAGCTAGGGAAACACTGGTCTAGCCTCTCGCACGAGCCTCCGATAGTGAAGATCATCGCGAAGCCCATCCGACGTGCGACGGAATGATGAGTCCAAAACGATATTCTGAAGTGTCAAGTCTCTTTCGGAGTCCGGATCCACTTTCAGAGAGTTCCCCAGGAAGTCGGAACTGAAGAGCGGCTCCGAGAACTCAGGAGCGTGACAGAGCGTAGATGATGTCACTTTTGACGCAATGTCCTGAGTCCTGACTCCGGTTCTTAGAAAGCACCATATTCTACCCATTTCGATTGCCGAAGGCACATTATTCTCGTCCGCCACGGAAAATGCAAGGCCGGAGACTCCATCTTATCTTCGGTGGAGGGATACGAACCCTGACTGCTGTTCAAGGGCAAAGTTCAGAGGACCGAACCACGCGCTCCCAGTTCGAGCCAACTCGAAACACACAGGGAGGAACGAGAATCTTCTCAGTCGAGTTCTACCCAGCCAAACTAAGATCCCGCACTCAATTGCCTTCCCCATACGTCTCTCGTCCGACTAGGGAGAGATTCACGGATGAACTTCTTCCGATTCCGGAAAGACGCTCTGCAGACGGGGCATGGGACTCGGAATTCCGCTCGAGTCGTCGTTCACCATGGGTCTTCGAGCACGAGAGGAGTGTGAATTCATAATGAGGCTCTCATCGCCTCCGGGGCGAGCGGATGCAGATCTCATTGAATTCTTCAGCAGAGCGCTCAGATCGAAGACGGTGTGTTTCCGACCGATACTGCCCGCCTCCTAACGCCTAGCGGCAGAAGAAGCAGATGCATGACCGTTATGGAATGAGATACCCTCAATGAGTAATCTCGAATGAAATCGCGCGTCTACCCACGAGAAGTCTTCGCGAGTTTCGAAGAGCCAACTCGGAATCATATGACTCACGGGATGCAAATCCTCACGGCACCTCATCGCCATCTCCCGATCTTCGCGTTGAGGAGTCGACGATCCTCGAGCCGAGATCGTTCGAGCCAAAAAGCTTCTCGGAGCCCAGATGGGACCCACGTAATGAAAAGTTGACTATTCGTACTACCCTGCGCGATACGCAATCGAAAGAACCGATGTCGCAGCTCGAGGTGCTCTGGACCTCTCACAAGCATGCTTCAGGAGATCGGTCATCTCCAGGAAAGTCATACTATGGTTCCTAAATTGCATCCGTGATTCAGGACCACTACGCAAAGTTGCCGGCCCCCGATCGCCGACCGCGAAACTGTTGAGACGTTTCGCAACTCGTCCGAAGCGATAGCTTAAACTTGCTCGCGATATTCTCCGGAATTGTGAATACCAGGAGATGAATGAGGACCCGCACTATCGCGGAAAGACTCCGCCAGAATGTTCTTGGCTCCTCGAATGCTGCCTTTCCACTATCGAATCCAAAGAATGGTATTCATTTACCTTAAGGGTTTCCCTGGGGCACGGACACTCATCTTCGACTGAATGGGGGCGTTCGGTGAACTCTGGTATTCGCCCCGGCGGCAGAACGAGTTAATCATCGGGGTCTCCTGAACACACACCCGACGCTAATCAAAATGTTGGATAACCTGCGTAGGTTTCAAAGAACTCGCAGATACCGTTGATCTTCAGCTGAGATCTACCGAGTACCGTGGAGCTAGCTCCGCAGTCTTCGAAGACCAACTGAATTCTGCGCGAGTCTGTCGGCGGTGAACTTCGGCGCTCAAGCGCTGAGTTCTCTGGCGGGTGGGTAGTATGTAACAGAGACCGCATCACATCATCCCCGGAATCTCGCCAGGCGATACTGCGGGGCTAGCTCGAATGTGAGTACCAAGCTTGGCGCGACCGTCGCTCCGAATAGCCGGCTTGTCAGAAGATCGCTCGAGACCAAAATCGCATTCATGGGCTCAATTAAGGATGCACAACGCTTAGAAAGAGAACTTCGATCTTGAAAATTACTCCGGATTACTGTCGCCGAGCAGAAAAAAGCAAATCCAGCGTGAAAGGCGAGCCTCATCCATTTTGACAAACGATACATTCGCGATTTCGAGTCGTTCAAGAGCCACCTGACTTCGCACAACAAACAATTCGGAACGGCACCGTAACTTTCGGTGAGGGTTCGAAGTACGTATGACTAGGCGCAGCTGTTTGTGAGACGTGCACGTTGTCTCCCTATGCCTCGCTGCTCATCGGCAGCATGTGAACTACTCGCGAAGAATCTCTTGATTCGCCGGGAAAAATAGTGTTTGAATGTACTTACATAGTGCTTGAGGTGGTCGTTAGCCGTCCTGCCATGGAGCCGCGGGCTGAGGTCAAATCACATCCTATCCGGGCATAATGCGACAGCTCGTCGACCTGCTGATTGACTCTCGAGGATCGTTGCTGCACGATTCCCACCGAACTTCACCAAAATGCTCCCTTCCGTCCTCTTGGAAAAACCTCACACTTAGCACGGGACGCTGTCGAAGTTCTTCTGCCCGGGTTTTCTTCCCGGAGCGCTCGTGCAGTTCGGCGCAGTTAGTTGTCGTCTTCGGTGAGTGTTTGCAGTGATTTCCACTCCCTTCGAGATTATATGCCGGGATATCGGCTCACAGGCTCGTCGCTCGTCGAAGTTGAAATCCTCGATTGCTATCGAACCTCTCGGCCTCCTGTTCGCAGTTGAAGTTCCGTGTTACTTACGACAGGCTCACGATGTATCAACGAATCGAGTGACTGTCGCAGCCAGCCGGCTGAGTCTGGCAGCTACGAAAGCAGCAGCGGGCTAGAGGGCGGGAAGGCCTACAGCGAGGCGACCGGATAGTCCGGCGGCGAAGTAGCCAGTCAGAATGGCAGGCAGACAGGCGAGCGGGTGGCGACGGGCAGGAAGACAGCAGGAAGGTAAGCAACCGAAAGCCAAAGATGCTCCGGTCTTTTTGCTGCTCGCTTCACGCTTCTCAATAGCTCGAATCTCGGTGTCGTCGTCGTCGTTGTCGCCGTCGTGCAAAGATCGTTGATGGTGAGGCCGATGGTGCAATGACGCTAGAGTTGCGACGAGTCGATCCGCCCAGTAAAACCAGCCACCATCATCAGCACCACGCACCAACAAGGACAACAGTGATAACAATAACAACAACAACAATAATCACGATCCTCGGATTCAACAAATCAAAATTAACAACAACAGCCACGCTCGCCTTCAATGAGGGTCCTGGAGCTCTGCGATGAGTTATGGAGTCGATATATGCCCCTCAGTAGAAGTGTCGGGGGACCTTCAGTTTGACAGTTTTCACCCCGGAGCCGCTGCGATACCGTCGCGGTACAGCCCAATGGTGAAATCATACGTGCTCGCGAGAGAAGCAGCGTCTTTCCCTCTCACTCTCTGTCACTCTGCGATGCTATCGAGGATGACAACAGGATTTAGCTGCGGCTGAATTCAAGAATTCCAGCGCGCTTCAACATCTGCTGAGAGCTACAACATCAGCAAAGCCGAGAAGCAGCGCGTGCCCCGATGGTCGCAGTAGAAGTTGATCTCGTGCGACGGGAGCGACGTAATTACCGACAGGAGAGATCACCAGCAACACAAATGCCGGCCCGAAAGACTTCAAGGAGACCGTTCGCAGGAGCCTGCTCCACCTGCCCTGCTGTTTGCACCAAGCCTCGAGAAAGCTACGCGCTCGCTCCTCCCCGAACGAGCTTCTGTTGGACCCACGCCTAGGGTTCGAACCGAAAACTGATCTCTTTATCAGCTGTTGTTGACGACTAGTCCGGTGCCGTTGTCCCTCTATTCGGGCAGACTACCGTGAGTCGCAGTCAGTCGGTCAGTTTGACGGCTGCTGCTGCTGCATTGGCAGTAACGAGATCGACAATATCAACGTCCTGATTTTGTTGTTGGCCGGGAGTAGACACACTGTTGCCGGTCGTCCTCTCGACTTGACGCGGCGCTGCGAGGGTATTCACAAACCTGACACAAACTGTTTGGAAATTATCCCACCGAAGAAACACGGACCGAGACCGAGTTACCGTGTATGTTGTTGTTGTTGCTGATTATCAGTTATGGCGAAACGCAGTAACGAATGGGCGCCAGTCAATCATTCGCCTCCTTGGTTGACGGTTGGCGTTCGTTTCAGTCCGTCACTCCTCCTATCAGAGGATCGACCCTGATCGACACTTCTTGGAGACCAGCAGCCGATACGAAGCTCGCCGGATTCGAACGGCATTCACGTCAAGCTCCTAAAATTGCCGAGTGTCCTGCTGCGGTTGGCTTTTCAGCGGGAGGTTTCTTGCCCGAGCCGATGCCGAGTCGCAGGGTCAGTCGAGCGCTCGTCGTTCAATAGGATCTTCGGTTTTCCGAAGATCAGTCAGCTCGTACGATCGTGCGAGGACGATGGACGGATCACCGAGGCTCTGCACGAGAAGATTCACCTCGAACGTCGTCGGTGACGGCCTTGAAAATTCACGGAAGACAAATCGAGAACGAAGCGGGGACGGTCGATCGCAGGTCGGGCTATCGAACCGGATTATCCGTGCAATAGGTCACTGATTCAGTTCGCCAATCAGGTCGTCAGTCACTTGTTCGGTCGGTCGTTTAGTCAGTCTATCAGTCAGACAGTAGTCAGTCAATTCCAAGACACGCCGCTGCCGCCGCCTTGTCGATTACTTGCGGCCTTTTACGCACGTTTCTGTTCTACAAGTCCCCGTCGTGCAAGCAGCGTGAGTGCGTGCATGCGTGCTTTGTTCTTCGATCATTAATGCCAACACCAACACCACCAGCAGCACCACCACAACAACAACGCCGAAATTGCTGCTTGCTGCTGCGACTGCTGTGGCCTCAATTTTCACTCAAGCAGCACACACACACACACGCAGCAGACCGACAGACGAACTAGCGGACGGACGACCAATAGACCGACAGACCGATGCACACACAGCCCGACACACATGTACACACACGCACTAGCGCCACTACACACATCCATGAGCGGCGGCTTATAGTACTTCTCGCGAGTTTACGAATTGCAGGGGGGAGCGAGAACGTTTCAAAGGAGACGACTTCCTCCAAAAAACGAGAGGGAACGAAAGAGAATATATTCCCCGAGTATCCCTATGCGGCGGAACACTCAGATGTGCGGTGCTACTGTCGTCTGTCGTCGTCTTCATCGGTACCTAGGTGTTCTACGTCATTTGACCGCGAAGCAAGATGAGAGCCCTCATAAGGTTGTAAACAAAGCCCAGTTATATTGATGGATGCATCCCCCTCTGTATGAGCGGGCGCTCAGAGAGGCGACGGCGTGAGATAGTCCGTGCGCTGTGTTGGCCGGGAGAATTCATGGCGCGGCGATTCAGCTCCCGGGGGCTGGGGACCGGAACGTTTGAAGACAAGAAGAAATCGCGCTCATTGTTCCGTGAAAAAAGTCGCGCCCAAGGACAGCGGTGAGAAACGCGACTTCCGGAGTCCAACGTCCAGCCTGGTGTATTGTAGTCCCCCCTGATGAAATAGCGGAACTAACGACAGAACGCGGGAACTGCTCTCGGGAAATACCGCTTCATATTTTTCCTATCATCGACGAACGCCACTAGGAATATTCGCTCTCTATCGTTCTGCCTGCAACTTGACTCACGCCTTCATCTTCAGGCTAGAGATTCCAAGGCGTACTTCGGTACGCGAGTACGTATGCCGGAGAGTGCGTGCAATAGAAAGTACCGTCTAGTCTCTGGGAAAGTCGTACAAGAAATGCGCGGTTTGGGATTCAACAAACATGGAATCTGTCGATGTAACGATGATTTTTGCTGGAAATATGAACTTAATCGGGCGCTCCCTCGCTCCATTTTCCTGTTCCGATATCCAGTCGCTTCGGGTCACGGCATAAATCAGAGATCGCGCTTGGGTAACGACGAATCACGACGAATGACAGAATGTAGGCTTGATCCTCGGTCATTCTGGAGTGGTCTAGGACCTAGACTCCAGGTTCTTGCGATGCCAGGATCTTCGATAGCTTGTCTAGACTCTAGAGGGAACTTCAAGCTCCCCCGATGCGGCTCCAGAAGTTTCTCCGCCATGGCCGCCTCGGGAGGCGACCTCCGACGCAAGATCCGAGCCCTTCTCATTCGACTCCCCCATTGGCGCGGTAGTCTTTGGCATCGACTTTGCGAATGCTTCTCCCTCTACCTCATTGGTGACGGCGAGTGTTGCCCGTCGAGAGTTCCAAGTACATGCAGAGGAAGTCTAAGGATTCTCAGCGCGGTTAGTGCATATGTTCAATCCTCCGTTCGAAGTTGAGCTGACTCTGACCACGATTTCAGACGGAACTCATCGTTTCCCCCATACGACCGATATTGATCAGGCCAATATGTTCAACTCGTCAGGTTCATAGATCAAATGGACGCCTCCCTCGCGGCTTCGAACGGGCTTAGTCGCAGGTCGCAGCGGCTCACTGACAATCGGATTTCTGTAAGAACCGTTCTGAAGAGACTCGTGGAAGCCGCGGCGGTGAGTTTTACTTAGGCTGGGGGTGCAGGAGAGTTGCGCAACTTCATCAAGAGAGGGGTAACGTCGTGCTTGACATGATCGAGCTCATTGTATGTGGGAACGAAGTCCGGATCTATGCGGCTAATAAGAGCCGAAAACATGCTCGTCAGCGGCTCGGCGATACCACGCCCGGGTGCGATATCGAAGTTTTGGCTGCGGAGGGAGATATCGATCTCGGAATCGTCGAATCTCGGGTCCTTGAGAAAAGTCACCAGTCATCCCCAAGATTGACTAATGGAGACGACCCCAAGCCCGAGCATAATCGTAGAGTATCACAGGACGAGGAGGCGATAAACATGGAAATGAATAAAATAAGATCGGACGAATATCGTAGCAATCGGAATTGATTTGTATGGGAATCCCGCAGGAGGACAAAAGCCGAAGGCGAAAGTAGTCGACTCCCGGCCGCGTGCTGCGGCATCATTCTACTCGGGGCGCTGCCACAGCTCCGGCTATATCGATGCTCCGGTACACAGGTTTTGAGGGTGAGGGTGTTCCAACCCTATCGGTTCTATCACTCAATTATCACACTCCAGCCTGTTGGGTGAACAAGGACAGATCGGAGCGCCCTGAGTTAGCTGTCATGTCTTCCTTTATGATCACACGTTTTTACCATCGATAGTTCCGTGGGATCCCGACAATCGTAAAAACCTACCACGCTCCGGTGTCTTGTAGGTCATATGAAACTTCGACAGGGTGAAGCTCCTTACGGATTGGGCTCGCTTAGCCCTTCGGGAATCACATTCATAGCGAGCAGGAAGCGGACTGGATGGTCAGACTCAAATCGGAG